CCCCTGTATCCTCACCTCTTTATGAACGTTCCTCTTATCTTTTTGCTTTAAGTGCTGCCTGGCTCACTTCTGGGAACATGGGGACACCGCTCAAGTATACTGGGTCCTGATGGTGGGGGTGGAGTGTCCGCCCTGCTCCTCGAGACCACTCTCAGACTACTGTTCCTCCTTAACCTTCCCCTCCCTCTGCTTTGGCGCGCAGGCCGTCAGAATATCCCTAAGCCTCCCACACTGTGGTGGCCCACCAGCCTACGGCCACTCACCTGCGGTCAGTGAGGCTCTGAGCCCCTGCGGGCTCACGGTCACTCTCCACCACCACTGCTGGCCTCACTCGTGGTGACTGCATTGTCCACTTAGGTCACTCAGGCACAGCCGTGGCTGCAATTCAGAATTATTTGGGAAGCTTTTACAGAAGCCCGGGCACTGCTCTTTTCTCCTCCCCTCCTCCTATTTCCAGCCAGTAGAATCTTTAGGGGGTTGGAGGCATGCGTATTTTTTAGGGGCTCCCAGGTCATTCTAGCACGTGGCCAGGTTTGAGATCCACTGGCCTAGGTGACCTGAGTAGGGTTCTGGCCTCTCAGATCATAACCTCCTTAATCCCACAGCCTTCCTCCCACCCCAGCCGGCCATCTCACCGTCACAGTCTGGTGATGGTCATGACTAGAACTTGCCACACCTCAAAAATGTTGACTTCTGGCATGCTGCTCTGACCGCCAGCTGACTCCCTCTGGAACCCCAACTCCAACCACTGCTTGGTCTCACCAGGTCCACCAATCCCTCGTCCCTATGCCTTCTCACTGCCCTTTGTGGCCTGCAGGCCCACCTTCCTGATGTCCTTTCCCAGCCGGAGCCATGATCCTGCTCAGCTCCCTTGCTCCCACTGTCCCGCTGATGCCTTCCCCCGGCAGCCCCCAGCCCTGATGGAACTACGCTCCGCTGTTCATGCCGCATCCAGGCACCAAATCTCAGGATGTGGCTGGACACAAATGCACAGCCGGCTCACTTTCTATTCTTCAAGAGGCTACTTTACACCTTTTCCATCCAAAGCAAGTCCCTTAAGTGTCTCTACGCTCTCACTCTTCCGTGGGGCTCCTCCTGATGTTCACACTGGCAGCCCCTCTGCCTTCCTGCCCTGCTCTTGCGTGGAACACTCCTCGCTGGAGTCATCTCTCCTTCCCGGGGAAGTATTCTCAGACTCCTCTGCCTAAGTAGCCTCCTCTCCTGACCCTGAAGCTCTCTATGCTCTCACTCTGCCTTCTGTTCGTCAGGGCACTCACCACCATCTGACATCACGGTGCATTTATTTCTGTGTGCACACAGGCTCCGTGCAGGCGGTTCCCTTCTTGTGTGGCCCGTCATCTCTGCCTCCCTGTGGCAGGGCAGCGCCCGGCTCACAGCAAGCCCCAGTGAATGAATGAGTGAACAGATGAACAAAAGGATGGATCTCTCTCTCTCTCTTTTTTACATTTATTGAGCTAGACATTTTAATAGCTATTTCACAGATAAGAAAAGGGAAACTTACAGCAGTATCCTGAATGTCTGGAAATCACAGAACTGGCAAGTGCTAGAGAGGGGATTTGAATCCACCTTACCATACTGTCTCCACACTGGTGAGATCTGTTTCTTCCTCTAGAAAGGAGCACAGCAGCTCTCCCCAGCCAGGACCCCGTCGTCCTGATGGAGAAGGGCAGAGACATGCTTTTGAACATCACAAGAGAGACGTCTCCGGCTGCCCAGGTCAGCGCTCCCCCCTGCCGGCCACCGCCACTCGGGGTGCGGTGGGTGCTGTCTGGAGGGGGAAGTGCAAATGTCTTGCTCTGTGTCTTGGCCTGGCTGGTGATTACTTGATGTCTATTGTAAGGGAGGAAAAAATAATTTTCTTTCCAGTCTTCTGAGTTCTCAGCTGGGACCGCTTCGGCAAGGAAGTCCCAACACTGACTGACAGATGAGAGGATGAGCAGGAAGCTGAGCGTCTGGTGCTCAGACCGCACCCAGGCCCGGCTACCTCGCGCAGCCCTCCGGGAGGGCCCTGCGCTGCGGGCTTCGGCCCTCCCCGGGGCTCTGGGACGTCTGGGGCACTTTTCAGTGAGATGCAGGGCAGGCCCGAAGTTGAGAGTGGAAAGAAGCCCGGGGCCCTGATGGAGAGCTGGGCTTTCCCATCTGCAAGTTGAGGCAAGATCTCCACCTCACTGGCCCACAGGAGCGAGGGCGGCGCTCCTCCTTGTGGAGATGCGGGGCCGCGAGGCGGGGCGCCCGCCGCACGCGCAGCCCGCCGCACGCACAGTCTGCCGCCCGCCGCCCGCGCAGCCCGCGCCCGCCGCACGCGTAGCCCGGGCCCGCTGCACGCACAGTCTGCCGCCCGCCGCCCGCCGGAGTAAGCGCCAAGGCGGGACAGGAGGAGCCCGAGGCGGGGGAGGCGTCTCTGTGTCTTGCCCCCACCCTGGCAGGAATCCAAAAGAATGGAACTGTCGGGACTTTTTGAGCTGCTGACTTGGAGGAAGTGTAGACGGAGATCGCACAGAGTTCGAGCTCTTGATCCGCACTAGACTCGGGCTCAGGCCTGGCTGCGCCCCGCTAGCTGTGGCGGGACTTTGAGCAAGTCACCCGCCCTTGCTGGGCGTCAGCGTTCTCGGCGGAACGGGAGCGGCTGCACAGCAGCAGCCACACGGGAGGCTGCGCGGGCCGCAGGGAGCCGCCTCCTGTGGGGGCACTCCGCGCGTGCGAATAGCGGCACGCTCATCGTCGTCGGGTCGGGCATGCACCGCAGGCTGCAGCACTTTTCTAAGGGCTTTACCTGTGACGATCCAGTCACTCTTCCCACCCCTTGAGGTGTTGACTGCTATCCCTCAGCTGAGGGGCCTGAAGGCCAGAGAGAGTCAGTGATTTTCCTGACATCATGGCGCTGGAGAGTGGCAGAGCCGGGACTCCAGCCGGCAGAGTGGCTTCGGAGCACACGCACGTAACCGGTGTGATGTGCTGCCTCTGCTCTCAAAATGGGCTTTACCCGCGTGACAGAGTTACTCCTGGGGAGTTCAAGATGTTTTCCTGTCACTTGACTCAGTCTTATGGTGGGTTAACATGAAATTTTTGGTCTGTTGTAAATAAGTAATTTAGTTTAAGTACTGGAGCTTAAAATTCTTTTGAGAAGAAATATTTATACTTGCTATTTCCTGTCATGGATTTTGGTTCTGCAAAGTCTGAGCTAATACCTCCAGTCTGCTGATGACATTGGAAAGGACGGGACTGTGAGACCCAAAAGGCGTATATTTGGGAACGTGTCAGTCATTGCATTTTTCATTTTATTCTATTGTTTAGTTACATGCAGGCAAATCTAGTAAGTTCCTTAATTTACCCAAGACATCTGAGCCAAGGAAAATGCAGGTTTATGCATATGTGGATGTGTGATTTTTGCACAAATTCCAAATGTGTCTTTTTTTAAGTAAGAGGAATATGTGGGAAATGAGGCTACAATATTGTCTTAGGACCAGGTTCACAAGTACCATGTAATCTAAGGTCCAATACTGTCAATAATAGCCTGAATGGTAGAAGTATTCATAAATATGTGTGGTGTTCACAGAAAATAAATCTCATCTTTTAATATTTTTTCCTATTCCTCTTTTCACTGACCTCTTTTCTCACTACCTACCCCTCCTTGAAATTAATTTTGATTCATCTCCCCCTCCTGACTTCTCACAGCACCTACTGCTGAGGCTATGCATTTGGCATTTATTTGCATTCTACTCTTTATGTATATCTATTAATACTTGTATCCTTCATTTCAACCAGTTAAGTTATTATTAACAAGATAAAGGAAAGTAAATTAATTGCCAGACAGGACAGCAAATACAGGTCATATTTAACTACTCTTTGTATAAATCTAAGAAAGTGCTCCTTATATACAAAGCAAGGGTAGTAATTATGAGTGTCTTCTCTAGTTATGAAAAGACAATTTCTGAGGGATCTGTTCTTAATATTTGCAGTATGATGTTGTGGAATGATCTCTGAGGGCCCAAGGCTCTGAGTTCTACTGTGTGACCTTAGGCAAGTTATTTAACTACTCTGAATCTCTAACTATTTCTATCTAAAATGATGGGTTGAATTAGAGATCAATGCTGTGGGCTGAAAGTTTGTGTCTCTGTAAAACTCATATGTTGAAACCCTAACCCCCACAGTGATGGTGTTAGGAGGTGAGGCTGTGGGAAGTGATTAGCTTGGAGCTCGCATGAATGGAATTAGTGTCTGTATAAAAGAGGCCTGGGTTGTCCCTTGCACCAGTCACCGAATTGATGTCACCTTGATGTTGGGCTTCTCAGGTCTCAGTCCAGGACTCTGAGTAATAAATATCTGTTGTATATAAGCCATATAATCTATGCATTTTCTTATAGCAGCTCATGAACCAAGACAAGATCCTTTTAGGATAAAAAATTTTTAGGATTTTAGGAGTCTACTTTGGATTCTTTTTGTTCTTGAAGTAAAAGAACAACATTTCTTTTTACTTTTTATTTCTTTTTATTTTGCTTTAAAGTTATTTTAAAAACAGTTCTGTAATTCAGAAATTTTACCAAAATCAGACCTTTCCCTATTTAAGTTTTTCACATTGAGAGTTTCCTCTGCTCCACGATAATAAATACATAACACAATATATTTCCTCTATTTTAAACTTGTATCTAATTGATACACAGCCACTCAGCCATTGTGGTGACTGGACATCTTGAATGTTCTATAATTCCCCAATTTAAAAAACCCTGTTATCTATATAGCGAAGATAATTTAAAATCCAACTACATTCACATACCTCACTTCATTTTAATTCAAAAAAATGTAGCTAGGAAAAAACATAATGACCTCTCTTCTGTTCTGATTATGTAAAATGTGTTGGTTATTGGGTTATTGATCAATAAGAGCTTATTTCCCAGTTTCCGGCTCTGTTGGTGAAATGCAGGGATTGGTTGGTTAATTCTAAGTCTCTTCTTCCTTTCCTCAGTTGGCATCTTCCCCAGCAGTGTCTGAGTCACGGTGGAGGCACCGCCCGAGACGGTGTGGCCTGAGCAGCACTGCCGGCAGCAGCTCTGCGTGGCGTGCTCGGGGTCCCTCCCTCAGCAGCAGGCAGCAAAGAAGGGTATGAGGGTGTGACAGCAGTCTCCAAGGAGGAAAGGGCTATGTGAGGTCTGTGCTAGAAAAGGATTTTACATTTCTCTTTGGCCTGGCTTGTCTTTTCCAGGTAAGTACAAGACATCTTTAGAATTCTTGAGTGTATTTGGAACAGAGACACGAAAAAACCCAAATCTATTTAAGATTCAGCAGAGGGCTCAGAAGCATAAGCGTTCAGGCAAGTTACCACTTGTCAATGACTGTTATATAATAAAAACAGCTTTCTTATTTCTTTTGATTACATAAAGTGTTTTCGTTGGAAAAATGAAACATACATAAAAATATAGCAAGTTAAATAAAGATCATCTGGAATCCCACCACTTTAAGATATCCAATTACACTGGTATAATCTTACACATACTTCTTGTTAAGCACACACACCACTCACAGACAGATTTACAGGAATGGGATATAATAAATGTTGTTTTGTTGTAAAGCCTTTAAAAAATGTTACTTCTACCTCTACCCATTACGCTGTATGCCCTCTCCCTTAAACAAAGGAAGTATTATTAAGTTCTGGGTATGTATCTTTTATATACTTTAATCTATATAGATACATAAATACTCATATATAATCTTATATAATTTTATTAATATATACTTATACATAATGGCATATGGGATAATATACCTTTTTACCAATAATATGCTACAGAAACCTCTCCGAGTCAAATGGTATAATTGTAATTTATTATTTGTTATTAGATATCATAGTATTTTACAACATAAACGTCTGATTATTTATTACACTATTTTGCTTTTCATGAGCATTCACCTTTTCAGTTTTTGCCACTCCAAAGGGAAGCGTTTGTGATGAACTAGCACTTGTAAGTGTCCCTAAATTTCACTTTTTCAATTTCTAATCCGGATGGTATTTTTGTCAATTATTAACTCGCTGTCATTATTGTTTAGAAATTCAATGTGATATTGATGTTCTCCTTGGAATTCTCATTCAGATACATGAAGAGGTAAGTGTAACTTCTTTCTGTAATTTCAGATAGTGGCCTTTTTGATTCAGACCTTCTCAATATGGTGGTTGGATCATGCTTCCAGTCTCGGGAGCTACACATGAAGTCATTCCGTTGGGAAACTGTTGCTAAAGCAGAAAGGTTCTGGGCGGCTGATGTGGCATCACGGTCTACAGTGTCTGCCAGCTGTGAGTGACAGCAGGCTATCACGATGGAATATGGCAGCAGCAGCAGCAGCAACTCCTGATTTAAGGGCAAAAGATGTAAGTGCTTATTTTCACCATTAACCAATTAATCCACACCAAACCCAAACTGAAGAATGCTAAGAGGGAATACAATTCCCATGAGAGACCCTTCTAGCAGATTTATTTGAGAAGAATTTGGTCTTCTTCAGCATAGAAAGGCATTAAGCCAGCACATGGCTTTCAGCAAAAGGAAGAACTTCACAGGGTCTTGTTCAAAGCCTAACTCCTTGGATTGCCTGCATACCCTGGCGGGGCTGTACCTGGGGGGTTGAATGTATTGCTGTGTGCAAAAGAATAAGCAATTTCAACTTACAAAAAAATTTTAGGCAGGTTTGATTATGGGAAGATGAAATGAGGCTTAGCAGTTATAGTGTTTGGGGAGAGGAGAGAACCTGTTAAATATTTTAAGGAGGATTCAAGTTTGTTAAGTCTGACTTGGAGGCAATGTGGAAACTTGTTCTCAGGCTGTGTAGATGGCGAGGGGCATGGTGCCTGCCATGACAGATGAAGCCCTGGCTTGGGTCCCTTTAAAGAGGTGGCTCTGTGGCTGCTGTTCCCAAGGCTTCCACCCTGGAAGTCATGTCCACAGTTTCTAGTATTTTCAGAGTTCATAGACCGTGTGTTTATGGGTTGGTGATGTTTTTTCTTTTTGTTGAGACCTTTTAGTCTGATGTTCAGTTCTGCATGAAACCTCATAAATGACCCATAACAATTTAACCTGAATGTGGTTAACTTATTGACAAACAGATATATTTGACTGCCACCTCTATGCTGGGGATACCTAAGTGAAGAAGATGGAAGAGGCCCCGCCCCTGTGGAGTCTGCCGCCCAGCAGGAAACACAGACGCTATGAAAGGAGACGTGAACCTGGCTGGGAGTTGGGAGACCCGGATGTAGGTCCCGGCACTGATCCCCGTGAACCATATGGAACTCTGGGCTTCAGTTTATGTGCTGTAAAATGAATGCATTGGGATGGATAACCTCTTCAGTAATTGATTGCTCACCTCATGTGAGTTTTCCCCTTGCTGAACAGCTTCTCACACAGCATTGAATTTGCTCCACATCCAATTTGGGAACAGGTGCTTTTTTTGTGAAATGGATCTCACATGTTGCCAACCAGGCTTCATGAGATTGTGATATTCTGCAAAAGAAACTTGAAGGATCCTTCTAAATGGGGCCACTTACAATATAATATTTGTAGGAGGAATGGTTACTTTTGAGAAAGGTGTCTTTTTTTTTTTTTTAAGAAAAGGGAACACTTGATGAATCTGTGTTCCCTCCTTGCTCAGGGGCCATGCTAAACTCTGTATTGTTCCAATTTTATTATATGTGCTGCCAAAGTGAGCAACAAGAGAAATATGTCATAAAGGTAGCAGTTCTACACAGACTTATCTTAAATATCTGAATTTCTGTTTTCAAATGGTCACTGATTGGAACAAGTACCTTCTCAACTGCTGCTGACTTTTGAGGGGAAAAGGCACAAAAACTTGATACTAAGGAAAATGAAATGGCTTCAAACAGGTATGACCCACAGATTTAAGGCTGAAAGAAATTTAACTGAGTCTAAAAATAAGCCAGACTGTGGTTTGAAATAGAATAGAAAATACTGACCATTGGTGGCTGTGCAGCACAGCCTCAATCAAGTTCCTGAAACTCTTCACCATTAGCTCAGTCATTTTTGACACTGGAAGTTGTGGGAGTTTCATAACATGTTTAGTAGAATAATGAATAAATCAATTTTTAAAAACCATAGTTAGCATCTATACTTTTTCCATCAACCTTGGTTAGGCTGGCTCACAAAATCATCTGATGGGCTCATACATCCCTTGCTGCCCTCCCTTCTGGAAGGCAGAGGTGTGTTTCCTGACCTGGGACAGAGGCCTTCTCTTGGACTGTCCATCCCCATGTGGGGACGGGAGCCTCCTCTGGGGCTCCCACACTTGTCACTCAGTTCTTTTATTCCCCTGTGTCTTCAGTCTCTCCTTTACACTGTCTTTTCACTATAGGTAAAAACCTGTGTGAGTCGCTTCCATTTTATATCAACCAACGAATTAGCCAGCCAACCAGTCAATGAACAAACACAATTCCTCCTTACTGTTCTCTCTCTTTTCTGACCTTTTCACAACCCTCTGGGATCCAGTGGACATTTTCAAGTTCTTTTTAATTGCTTAAAATTTTTTTTTTCCAGACATAAGGTCATGCTGTGTTCCAGTCTGGCCTCGAACTCCTGGCCTCAAGCCGCCCTCCCGAGTGGCTGGGACTACAGGTGCCTGACACTGTGCCTGGCTCAAGTTCTTACGTGACTTATCTCTTACTATATTTACTCTCTGTACCTTTTCCTCTTTCTTGACATTCTATCTTCCTGTGGTTGTCTTGATGCTGTTCTGACTTTGCCTTCTCTGTCTTCCTGGACTTCTCTTTCTCTGTTCTTCACTTGAAACAGTTATTTTCTTATTTTGAAATCTGTGCTCTTCCTTGACAATCTCATTCATATCCATGATTTTAATTATGTCTTGTGTGCTGATAATGCCTAAATCACAGCACATACAAATCTTCAGGAAAGAAGCAAAGTATAGACAAAGGAACACTATCAACCACAAATATGTGTCCCTGCAGACTTCTCTGGGGAACTCCTAACTTATATCCACTCTCGCAGACACCCCCAGTATGTTGTCCTGCAGGCCACTCAGCTTGCTGTGGCCCAGCCTGAACTCACGTCCCTCTGAGTTGGCTGCCCTTCCCTGCATTATCACAATGTACACCACCTTTAACCCGACACATCACAGTTTATTCAAGTGACGAGTTTAATTCATTTGCCTCTCCACTTGATGGTGAAACCTAAGAAATAGAAATATGTCTTTTGTTTGTGTATTCCTAATGCCTACAACAGCATGAGTCACATGACAGTTATGCAATAAATGATTATTGAATGATTGAATGGTGGACAGATGACAGCTGTAGGTTGATATTCTATTAATGTTATCTCAGTCAGCCCAATGGGAAGCACCCTTCTTTCCCAGTAACAAGCGTAAGTTCCGGGTGCATGTTTCTTGGAACGTCTCTGGACATGTACTGGCTGCTGGATTAATCACCACAGCCAGGGAGATGCAAGACTCTTACTGTCCAGGCCTGAATTTTGTCCTCATTCTTAGAGCAAGGGATGGGGTCAGTGCCACACATGATACAGAAACTGAGAAGAGGCAGGGATGCCAATAAAAGGAAAAGTGATGATTTATTGCCAGAAGCCAGAGGGCAGGATACTGGGCTGACAGAAATGTCAGATGTTCGTCATAGGTGTGCACAAACACCCGCGATACTAGGGAGGGCTGGGCCTGCTCCTGCCATATTGGCCGGGTGAGGCGGTTAGGGCTGCCTTCAGTCTCAACACTTCTCTTCGCATTCCAGGCTCAAATCACACTGAACGTGAAACCCACCAATGGTGCTGTGAAGGTACCAGGCCTTCCTTGACCTCTGAGCCCCGGTCACATCCACCCTTCCTTCCAGGATGGTGTGCTCTCACGGTTCGTGTCTCAGTTGGGATCGTTCTGCTGGGAAGTCTTCTCTGACGAGGGTGGACAACTTACTGTGCGTTTCATCTGCTTCTTGCTGTCATCCTCTCCTAACACTTATCCTTGGAATTTCTGTTACCTTGTCTGTGTCCTGTTAGGCAGTAAACTCCAAGAAGATAAGGAACAGTTTTGCCTTGTTCGCTTCATGTGGCCTGAACTTAACACCTAAAATGATGCTTGGCACATAGTAGACAATTAATATACAATGAATGTAGTACTCAGTTTCCCACCCATTTCTTGGTTATTATAATAAATAGTGCAAATTGTTTTGGGTTCCTTCCATATAGTTTTGGGGCTTAGCAACTTTATTTGAGGAGCTACGGAGAGTAGTTCATATGGGAGAAAAAATTTTTTATTACAACAAATAGGTGAATTAATATTGTCCAAAATAGTATTTGTTGAATGTAGCAAATAATTTTTTTATTCTTCCAGGGGTGAGATTATACCTCAGCCAGATTCATTTAGTGACAATTTATACAGTGAATGATATCTGGCCAACACTTGAACATGGTGCTGTGGTGTCATAATGTCACGGGACACGCAGAGCATTGCATCCTTAGTTTAACGGGAATACTCCTAACAAGCTTGTATGGAAAGCATATCACAGAAGCGAAGTCGGGAAGGGCAGTAAATACTTACTCAGCATGCAGAGAGTCTACACACTCGTTTATGGGATGTTCCTCTCAAAGAGTGAGCCTTGGGCATCTCCCTGTGGGACGGCAGGCGTGCGTGCGTCACTTCTCTATCATACTGTCATGCCCTTCAGCGTCCTCCAGAGACTGAAATTTGAACTTTGTTTTTTGGCATCAGAAGTGGCGCCTATGGAAGTTGCCCTGATGTGCTGAATTTAGCATTAGAGCAGCACTCACAGGGAGCTTTGCTATATCTGCAGTCACTCATTCCAGACTGAGAGAACAAGGAATGTGAGTGCCACTGAAACACGTGTATGTACTCACGTTGTGCACACACACGGGCTATTTCTGTGCGTGGAACAGTGGGCAGAGGGGTAGAACTTGCAAAGTGGTATGAACCTTTATTGGCTGACAAATGGGACAAGGAGACAATACAGAAGTTAGTCTTTGAGTTCTTATTTTTATGATTAAATATCTATTCTAATCTCCCTGTCATCATGTTGAATGAGCCTGTTTATACTGACTGATAACTTTGAAGGTTATAATCATTGTATTCACATGAAATGGAGTTTTAAATAATTACATTCTCCAGCTCTCGGCAGCAGAGGGCGATGCAGGGAGGGCGAGTCTGCAGGCAGCAGGTAGGTGGCATTTAAAGGAGTCCTTTGTCGGGGCTCACCCATCAGGGCTTGGTCCTATAGGAGACCCGCACTGTGCCCACAGCTCCACTTTGAAGGCTGTGGTGAGAGTGACAGTCCCAGGACTGGCACTGGCAGCTCACAGTGCCCGGGCCAGGCTAATTGTCCCTGGCACAGGCACCGTGGTTTCCTGGCGCATCTCCTCCTAATAACTGGCACCGCTGACTGGCACAGGATGCTCCGTGTCTGGCCTGTCCCTCGGATCAGCTCAGGACGGGGCCAAAGCCTTGGCAGCCCCCCCTGGCTGGGCCACCAGCTCCATATCTTCAGTGCTGGCTCCAGGCGGCGGCTTGGCTGGAGTCGAGAGGCTGCTCTGCACTAAACCTTCGTCCCTTGACTCATCTGTGGAGTCAGAAATATGAGATGCTTGCTGACTTTTTAAAAAGAGCCACAAAGCATCAGCTGTTGCTGGAAATGCAGGTGTGGCCGTTCTCCGGTCATTCCCACTTTGGCTAAGAGTATATTTTTAAAAATTATTATTGAATTTCATGTTTTTCTTTCACTGTCCAGTTGGCATGGGTCTCTTAAGTATGGCCATGGACCCCAGTTTAACAGGGTATGCAGATAGCGTGTGTCTGTTTCTGTCTCATTTATGCCCCACATGGCGCCCTTGTATCCACTCTTCGATCAGCTCCTCACCTCATGGCCTCAGCCTTCTCTTTTACTTTCTCTGGTAGCTCCCTGTCAAAGTTTAATTCTATACTCAGGCTGTGAAAATCATTGTCTACAATCATTCAGTACACGCTGCTGCTGCTGTACATTTAAGATGTCCATTCATCTATAAATACAACTTTATTGAGCTCTTGTTGTATGCCCGGCACTGCGAGCACAGCGCGGAGCAAAGCAGAGCGTCAGCGTGCCCCACGCAGCTCAGAGCCGGTCTAGGCCTCCGCAACAGCTGCGCTTCCAGCCCCGTGCCACTCGGGGACATGTTCCTGCTTGAAGCCCATGCCATTTTCCATGCTGCCCATCCCAAAGCTTCGTGATGGTTTTCAAGTCTCTTATCAAATGCTCCGCCTAGAATAGCCAGTGGAACTCGGCGTTCTACTCCACAAGGAATCCATGGTTTTGGGTCCCTTCCTGTACAGACTCGCCTTCCTCTGTGCCTGTCTCTGCCTTCTTCCTCCGCTGCTCAGAGGAGTAGGGCCCTTCCTTTACCTAATTAATCTTTGCTCCTATACTCGGGATCCCACGTGACCAGCCTCCTCTTTATTCCTGCAGCGATTGTGTTTCTTCTCTGTCTCTCCAGTCTCTCCCTCTGAACCAGCACATAGCTCTCTTTGCCTTGTGCACCCTAAATCAGTTCCTCACACTAGAGGGTCTTGTGGTAGCTCCAGCTCTTTTCCTCACATCCAGGCTTCTGCAGACAGCAATTTATGCTCGCTGTCTCCTCTTCCCCCTCACTTCCCATTTGCTGCTTAGGTGATTTCTGTGTCTGATCCCTCACCCCCTTGACCATAGCCCTACCAACACTGTTCCTGTTAAGAGTATCAAACCTCTTAGCTGTCAAATCCAGAGAACACACTTTGGCCTGTTGCCTTTCTTAATATTTCTTCTAAGTTTGGTGTTGCTGGCCACTTTCCTATTTTTGAAGCCATCACCTCAGCTGGTTTCTGGGGCACCATCAGCCCTGGTTCTCTGCTGTTTTTCTGGCGCCTCCTCACTGTCTTCCCTGGGCTCTTCCGCCTATGTCCAGTTCTTCTGTGTCCCCCTCGGAGCTCCTTCTTCCGACTTGCCTTCTACGTCGAGGCTTTTCTTCGGCAATACTGTCCATGCTTGTGTCTTCCACCACATCTCTCTCCTCAGGCCTCTCTCTTTAGTCCACTGTAGCCAACTACTGATTGGCCACACTTACCTCTGTGTCCCACAGGCCTTCATGATCAGCATGTCCAATACTGAGTTCATATTCTCCACCAAACTGGCTCCTCTTCTAAGATTGTTATCTAAAAAAAGGCAGCGTGATCTCAGCTGCAAAGCCTGAAAACCTGGATTTTCCTTGACTTTTCCTTCTCACTCATCTTCTACAGTCAACTGAGTATCAATACATGTTGATTCTATTTTATAAAAATATATATATTTATATGTAGTCTATCTGTCCCTTCTCATCCAACCTTCCTACAGCTTCTCTAGTCCAGGCATTTCTCTGTCTTGCTTGATTTGTGGAATAGCTGGAATAGCACACATTCTCATTTCTAGTCTTATGCTTTCCCCTGTGCTTCCTTTCATTGGAAAAACCAGCCACAGATATATCCATTCTAATAAGATTGCATAGTATTGTGATTGCATATTTTAATGTCTATTGCTCCACTGAATGAGGGCTTCTTTGGGGCAGGGATCATATGTTATCTATCTTTGTGTTCTCGATGTATGTGATAATGCAGGGCATATAGTAGGTGTTCAATAAACACTTGTTTAGTGAATGAATGACTCAAACTCTATCCAGAAGAGCATACTTAATCAATACAGTTGATACAGTGGAGCGGAGTTAATCAATCTTGGAAGTTTTGAAGAGTCATCAGCCCATTTTAGCAGTTTGGATGCTAATTAGTTACTGATGTGACAATAACACATTTGGATATAGTATTGATTAAAAATAATGTTAGTTGACTTTGTCCTTTAAAATTCTAACTTGTCTAATTGTAGACAAGTTAGAAAATATGGACAAGCAAGTGGAAAAAAATAAAATCATCCAAAATTCCATCACCTGGAAATAGATAATTACTGCTAATATGTTGATACAGAGTTCTCAGTTTGTTTTTGTTTTTGTTTTTGTTCTCAGATTTTTACTTTCAGTAAGAGAATAAGATCAAGCCTGGGGGATGTCTCAGGTTCTGAGCTGTCCCTTGCAAGAGTAACCAGTCATTAAATCACAGTGCTCAAGGATTCATGGCAAACCTGACCTGGACCTAGGTGGGTGTGCATATCCATCAGCACTAATTGAGTGGCTAAAGATTAGCAGTGTCATTAGCAGTCATACTATCAATACTTTTGTTAGACAGATGTCAAACTAGGGTGGTGTCTTAGTTTTAGCTTCTATGACAGAAAAAACCATAAACTGAGTGGCTTAAAAACCAGAAATTTATTTCTCACACTTCTGGAGCCTGGGAAGTCCAAGGTCAAGGTGATCTGGTATCTGGTCAGGGCCACTTCCTGGTTTGCAGATGGCCATCTCCTGGTTCTATTCTTAGACAGCGGAGAGCAGAGAGAGAGGGAAAACAAGTTCTCTTTTTTCTTTTTATTAATATAAGAGCACTAATTCTGCTCATGAAGGTTCTCGTCTTATGACCTAATTACCTCCCAGGGGTCCCTAATACTATCACACTGGGAGTTAGGATTCCAACTTATACATTGTGGGAGGAAACAAACATTCTGTTCTAGAAAGCCATTACTCTTATTTGAAGCAAGACCCTAGCCAGTGGTCTGGCGTTTGGAAAGGAGCAGAGGGACTTGGACAGGACATTCACACCATCAGCAGGCCTCAGGGCTCCGAGCCCAAGGCACAGTTGGGAGGAAGAGCAGGAGCCAGGCATGAGGGCAGAGAACTGGGGCAGGGGGAATGCGAAGGTCATAGCGGTTTGGGGGGAGGGCGCCTACAGGATCATCCAAGGGCACTGCAAACAGGACTTGAAGTGGCGAGACTAATTCTAATCCACCACCTGGTGGGGGGTGAGCTCTAATGTATTGTCAATCTGGGTAAATTTGGTTTAGAAACCAAGAGGAATTGAGCTGGCAGGTTGAAAGACCGAGTAATGGTAGACAGGGGGGAAGGGGAGGCGAGGGGGGGGGTTTAACGAGGCAGGAAGTGATGAATCCCAAGTGATGATCCAGTCCCTTTGAGAGGTGAGTTCCCACTCCAGTCTGTTTCATTTTGTGACCCATATAACTGTTATATGCCATGTGTCTACATAAAATAATGAAAGCTAATTGGAATTAATTTTGGTTGGTAAGGGTTTGAAGAGTTTCATAATAACTCTTGAGGTAATTAGAGATGCTTTGGGATGTCACACAAGGAGCATTTGGAATAACTGGGCTAGATGTTTAAACTGCATTGAAGGCTAGCAATGGAATGAAAATTCTATAATTGCAGGAACACTGAATTAGGAATTAAGAGTTTGGGGTTGAAATCAGTATGCTGGTAAACTGGCTTTCTGAAAAAAACAAAAAACAAAAAACCAAAAAACCCACCAGGAACCTTGCTTCGTAGCAGTTACCAATTTCTGTGGTGTAAATACTCCCACCATGGAGGATTTCAAATTATCCATGGTTTAGTAACTGGCTCACACTGTTCCTGAATATTAATAATCAGTTCTTGCAAGCACTGCGTGAGGCAGCAAGAGCACACCAGCATGAGCCTTTCTGAGATGCTAGTTAGCTTTGCGTTCTTAGATAAACCAATTTGCTGGGTCTTTGTTTTATTCACAAAAAAGTGGGGTTACTAATGACCTCTAAGATCTTTTCCAAAGTTAGCATTCTGCTAATGCAGCCAGTGCTATAGGGCAAGACCAATTTTTTTAATAGGCCAAATGAGTTACATCAGAATTTTGGGAATGTTACCCTGATGTATCAGAACACAGGCTTTCCCTGGACTAGTAACAACATAAGAGGCTAATGGGCTCTAAGCTTTTTGAATGCAAGGACTGTGTCTTTTATATTTATGTGTTTCAAATCCTGGTACATAATAGAAACTTGGTAAGCATTTGCTGAAAGAATAAACCACTTCAGCTTTTTTAGAACAAATTCTGAATATTAAAATATTAATTCAAAAGTAGAGATGCACTTCTCTGTGTTTACCTTAATAATGCTGAGGAAATATATGTAATTCAAATTACTCTGTCGTTATAGCAGAAAACATTTCAGTGCCTTCAGTTCCGTATTGGGCATTTAAATCTGCCTTCCAGCTAGATGGCAGAGCAGACTGCACAGCCGGAGCGCAGTGGAGAGAAGCCTGAGCGAGGAAAACCCAGCCCGGGTGGCCAGGTGTTCAGCGGCCACCAGTGCGACAGCCCCTCCCCACCCGGCCCTGCCGGGGGAATCAGCTCATCTCTTTTGAAAGGAAAAGATAATATTTATAGAGCATAATTATTTGTATATCATGCGCTGCTTTATCAATAATTGATCCTCATAATGACTGCCATAAGCTGAGTATTGTTGTTTGTATTTTAGAGAGAAAGAAACGGGACTCAAAGAAGCTGAGCAGGAGAGTGCCCGCGCGTCGGCGCCCCGATGGCAGTGGGTGCTCTTCTTGTCAGCCCGGCCGCTGGCCTTCCTAGATTCCTCTCCTGGGTGTCTCTCTTTCGTGTTTGCTGTGGGGCTTGGATGCCTTCCCGTGTGTGTGCACCTGGCTCAGCCGCGGGCAGGCAAACAGCAGCACCACTGTCGGACGGGTCCGGCCAAGTCCCAAGTGGGCGGCTCCCAGACTCAGGTGGCTGGGCTGTACTTTGACCGAACGATCAGCTCCATGGAGGCTGGGCAGTTGCAAAGGTAACTGACTTGCTGTAGACACGAGGGCCAGGTAAACCTTGGTAGACGTGGCACCTGGACTTTGACAGTGTCCGGGGGGGAGGGGGGGGACGCACTCCTAGGCCAGGTCCCGGAGCAGGCTGTAGGAAGGTGGGACGCCGTCGGAGCAGGTGCGTGGCAGCGCCAGCTGCCTTCTTCCCTTCCTTGAGCTGTGCTCGCCGCGCTTCAGAGCAGGAGGGGCGATATTGCCTTACTGGGGCCAGGGAAGGTCATTCATGTGAATGTGTGAGTGTGGCTTGTCATCATAGATGTAATTTCTTCATGTCGAGAATCTAAGGTGCTTTGCGTTTGTTGTCCTTGAATGTGACCTGAGGTCTAACTCGCTGGAGCTGATGTCTCTTGGCAACAGAACGGTGTGATTTCAGTGACGAGATTGACTATTGTGCCTTCGCAGTTGGGGAAGGGCTGTGTAGTGAGAGCATCTGGGGACAAGGGACAAGGGAAAGTAGCTTCTTCTCGTTCTATCGATGTGCGTCCAGATGGTTTTGAGTTCCATGGGAGAGGCTCATGCACCCTTTCACTGTGCCTGGGGTGTTTGCCCTTTCCTGGGATTTGCTGGCAAAGGCTCTCATTGCGCCTGGCTTTTCCAAGCAGTGAGTCGCACGGGAAGGAAGGCGCCTGTTCTCCTTAGCTGTGATTGACCTGGGCTGGAAGGCACCTCTGCGTCTTGCTCTTCTTGTATGTTCTGCTCTTGGCTCACAGCTGTGGACCCTGACTCCGTGGTGTTCGAGCAGAGTGACATCTTGGTTTCAACACACACCCTTTTGTTCTGCTGTGAATTTTTATGTGGGGCTGGGAGCTTCAGGGATGGGAGCAAGTTATGTGACTCTATAAGAATCTTGCAATTTAAGACAGTTCCCAGGGGAGGAAGAAGGTGGGGGCTGACCGAACCTGTGTGCTCCTGACACAAGAGAACCTCTGAGCAGGGTGAGGTCTGAGGAGTGCTTTCCCTTTGCAGGTGTCCCGCGCCCCCCCCCCATACAGGAAGAGGGATTGGAAGGTAATCAGCCTCTGGAACTATTTCCCATTTTGAACAATAAGTGAAGGAAATCAGTTTGACCCTAGGGAGACTTCCAAGTTTTAAAATCTCCAGCCAAGAAGAATCTGGAGACATGCTGTCTATTTTTTTGTGTAAGCAATCTCAAACTTGCCTTTTGTTGGTGGGCCTGGAGGAGGGGCAGGTATTGCATATAATAGGGTCTAGTTCTTCCAGGGGGTTAATGTAAGGTTTCTAAAAAGGTATCTCTTGAAGAGATAAATTTAGCTTCTTTTTGTTTAGGAAATGTCTCCAGCCACTCACACTACCCTAATCTTTATTCCTGAGAACACTGTTATCTATTGAGCAGTTACTATATAATAGGTAGTGTGTTAGGCACTTTCCATGTGTTGTCTCTAGTTCTGACAGTAACCCTGCAAGGTAGTTTATTAAGGGACCCATTTTATGGGTAAGGAAATTGAAGCTTGAAAACATTAACTACCTAGTAAATAGCAGAATTAGCATTTGAACTCTGATCTAGTTCTCTCTGAGGCCCACTCTATTTCTATGAAACCACAGGGCCTCCATAGTAAGTGTCAAATAAATATTTGCTAGTAGAATATATGAAGACACACTAATTGGCGTTCCTTGATAGCATTTTTAGCTGTACCTATTACTGTTATCTGTCTCTCTTGCCTCCTCCATCTGTTGTTGTTCCAAATGTACTTTTTAATTTTGTTAAGCAACATCAATATAATTATCTAGCCTGTTATTTGTTTCATGTGTCTGCTTGATATGTTTTTCAGATTGCTCTATATCCATTCCCTTATGGTTTATTTTAGATAGATTTCAAGGACCATAGCTACTCTTTTCACAAAACCTAATCAATCACCATGTTTGGAGATAAGCTTAAAATGACTATTCTTTTCCTTTTGTTTTTGTCTGCAGGAAGATAACTATACCACTGACTGTCAACCCAAAAGAAATTCAGAGGGTCAGGGATGGAATTTTGGGTTCCCCAGAGGCTGCCTCAGCCACGGGGGAGGCCCATAGCCCCATCAAATGATCCAGACTGGGGGCTTCAGAGAGATGGGCATCATCGGCCGGCTCCTCACCCTCAGCACAACAGAGAGAGGTTCCATCAATGGCAAGATGTCCGAGGGGGCCCCCAGCCTCAGCAGGACCCCAGAGCAGACCACCGGCAGCCCCACTATGCATCCAGGCCTGGGCAATGGCACCAGCCCTTGTCCGGAGTTGACTGTTACGAAGGTGGTTATCTTAGTCAGTTGTATGCAAGGTATGGCGTTAGGGCTTGGAATGAACCCAGCTCTCCTAAATGCTTGTGAATAGATTGTTCTTTCCCTTCTTCCTTTTCCTTTTGTTTCTCCTCTCTCTCTTTTTAAAATTTCTCCACCCTATATTGCCTTAGCTAAATCCTGTCCTCTCCCAAATTGGTTTTTGGTGATTGCAGATGATCTTTCCCTTCTCTTCATTTCCTAGTGGAGCTTATTAAAGACGTCTTCACAATGTGATTGGGTATTAGGGACTCAGTAGAGGGTAGAAAAAGTGGTGAAATGCAAGAAGGAAGACGGGATTGCCTTCCCGTCTTGCTCTGGGATTGCACAGAGCTATATTTATAGACTATGGAAAAGCTTGGTTTAGGGAACCCTATGAAAAGGTCCTCATTGTTAGTGGACCCTTCTGACCTGGGGCTAGCATGACACCACCGTCACCAAGCAGTCCTTGGGCCTAGAACAGTGCCTGCAGTGGTTACACTAGGCACACAAAACATCTGTGCTCAGAGAATGAGAATTAAAAAAAATCTATCTCAGAGAAATCAGATATAAACTTGTAGACCCCAAATTCAGAAGGAAAAGGTCACAGTGGGGTAGTTGTAAGTTGGAGGATCTAACTGATAGCATGGACTTGCTCTTTCATGGAATGTTAGAAGACATCTATGTTCTGCTTCGGCTTTCCAGTTGAGGTGATGTTTACCTGCCTATAGATTTAGGATTGAAATTATAACAATTATTATAAATTGTTATAAAGAATTTTGCCTATGAAATACTGAATGATTATTAATTGATAAAAACACTAGCAACCTGATGTTCCTTTCTCCAATCTTTTTGGATTATTGAATTCTCAAGGGAGGTATATTGACAGAGGCAATAAAAGTAATCAGATTTAAGATAGTCCAACTTGACTTTTTCACCTAATTTCTGTTTGTGACATGCATGGAAATTACAATGGTATATTGGGAGCTTACACAGTCATCTTGGGAAATGGTTTTCTCAGATAATTCAGGACAGAGTTTTTAAAGATAATATCTGCTTGTATTGCTGAATGTGTGTATTTAGGGAGTAAGAATTTTAATATAAAAACAAAAAAAGACTTTTTAAAAAAACTTTTAATGAAAAAAAGAGTTTTACTGTAAAAATCTTAGCCTTATTATGTGATAAAGGCCCTATTCCTTCTCTAATTCTGAATTTTCTGTTTATAGGATCTAGAATTAACTGTGGCTTTTAAGCAGATTCTAGACTGAGATTGCCATTCTGTCCTCTGTAGTTGTTTAGTTTGTCAACTAAACATTGGCTTCTCTCTGTGTCACATTCATACTCAACCGACTTCTTTGTGGTCTTTTAGGCCAGGTTATATGGATCAGTACCAGAGCCCTCATTCTGCAGCACTGAGGGAAGAATGTACTCACGGAAAGCGTTACTATCCTGGGTTCCCACAGTGGCTGCAGGAAGCAAGAGGTATGGAAAAGTCTCGGAGAGGCCTCTGGGACTTGGGGCGACGCAGCAGGTCTGACAGGCAGGGCAGGGCCTGAGGAGTCCTGGTCAGAGCCTCGTCTGGGGCGGCCTTTCCCGGCCAGGTGAGCCTGCGGCAGACCCTGCTCCTAGCTGTCTGGAGGGGAGGCATAGAAAGAAAGGAGCCGTGTTTCCTTTGCGTGTGCAGGTGGCGGCACCGGCGCCGTCATGAGCACTGTGGGTAGTCTGCACTTTGTCCACGTTTTTCTCGTACTCCTTCTTATAGCCAAGATTACATCCTCTGACCAAGCAACGGTGAAGTCAGTTCCTAAGGGCATTGTGTGTGTGTGTCCGACCATGACGTCACCTGAGGGTGGCAGACATGCACCACAGGAGTTTCAGGCCCTGTGCGATAGGTATAGGGTATCTGTGTGAATGGCAGCTTTGCACCCGCTAGCAAAGAGGAATCTGTTTCAACACTGAACACACACACACACTCACACACAGAGATCCTCACATGGGACAATTGTGTAGAGCCATGCTAATTGGTTCAGGGAGGACCAAGGGGCATCTTATGGACTTTCATAGTGCTCACCTATCAATTTAATTCAACTTGGCAAATATGTTCTCAGACCTACTATGATCCACTAGTAACTAAGCTTCACAGCTTGCTAGTGTCTTTCTGAAAGAGCTTGCAGAATCAGAAAGTGACATGTCTTTACTTTGTTTTCTCTGAGGGTGCAGTGCCAAGGCAAGGGAGTCCTTATGTCTGGTATGAAGATTACCAAGATCAAAAGTACTTCAGTGAACATCATCATGAAAACCAGCGTAGTGTGTTTGGAACACACAATGAGACCCAGTCCCAGTAAGTGTGAAAGGCGAGGCCAGTTTGACATGATTCAGTCGGACTCAGACTGTTGGGCAAACCTCATGGCATCTGGTGCTAGCCCCTCTGCCCGTCTGCCTTTGTTCTAGCCACAGGGACATGAGAGCAGCCCAGGGTGGGCCTGGGCGGCTGTGGACACGGACCCTGGGAGGAGCGATTCTTGTCTCCGAGAGGCTGTTTCTAGACCCGGCTGAGTCCTGTGAGGTTACTTGAGGTTACTTGAGGATCTACCCTAAAGGAAGTTCTTAATTCTATACTGGCCTCAGAACAAATGTAGCCTGGCAAACGTTCTCATGATTGGGCCTTGCCTATGGCTGAGGTGCTTCTCCTCAGCCCACTCCTGGGCCCTGAGAATGGGACGCCCTCCGGGGTAGGCAGAGCATCTGGCCTGGCGCCCTTGGCCCTGCGATCCACCCGCCCAGCTACTCCTAGTTAGCCACTGCGAGGTGTCAGGCTGCAGAGACCAACCCTCCCCCACCGGGTCCGAGGCCACTTCCGATAACTGCGCTAGGGCACCCGGCACTCCTGCTTTTCTGGGATTAGTAGCTTGAGGTGGCGAATGGGAGGAAAATACTTTCCTCTGGGACTCCCAGGCATCCGAGCACCTGCCCACACTTGCAGCCTGTGGCGGGGAGCGCCCGAGCCTCGCCGGCTGGCCTCGCACCCCTCACTGCCCGGTCCTTTCGCTGCAGCTCCAGCAGCCAGAACCCGTACAACCACAGCCCTGCTTCCAGCCCTGGGCAGGAGAGGGCCAGGGAGCTGCTGCCAGAGAGTCTGCTCACTGGGGCCCAGGAGAACAAGGTAATCTGAAGCGGCATGGGGGCTGGAGGCTGTGCTGGCACCACTGTTCGCAGCGGTAGGGCGGGCTGTGGGGATGTGGCCGCAGTGGCCAGCTGTCTGCAGGAGCCCGCGCCTCCCTGCTTGGCAAAACCTCCACTCACACCTCCTGCTTCCTGCCTTCCTGCTGCAGTTTCACAGGTCTGAGGCCTTGATCTGGCTCTGCATTTTTGGCAAATAGGCAGTGTCAAGAAATGTCACCCAAGTCATCCAAGGTGCTGGGAAAGAGAAGAGGCTGCCACCAGGTGTTATGTGTTCTGGACCCCAGGGGATTAGCAATTGGGTTTACCTAGGAACTGAAAAGTTACTAGAATCTTTTAATTCAAGTTTGAAAAGCAGGGCTTGAAACCTTTCCTGACTCTTCCGTCTCTGTCCTCTATAATCTTACTGTGTGTATCAGCTGGGTCACAATGTGGAGCTCTTAATTTTTAAAAATAAACTTCTGATTTTGGAATAATTTTAGATTTATGGAAAATTTGCAAAGATAGTACAGAGATGAGCTCTTACTTTTTGATAGTCTTGTATTAATTTTGTATCCCTGATTAGATTTCTATGATTTTTGAGGGCTGTTTCTTTTGTATAGCACTTTACAGTATACAAACAGCTTTTGAATTCATTGTTTTACTCATATGCTCCCAGAATGTAAGTTCCATAATTTTTTGGTACACCTGTATCCCAAAGGAAAGCTGAGCCCTTGGAGCATAATAGGTGCTCATTAAATAGTTGGCGAATGAATACATGAGTAAGTACTTGAAGTATAGAGGGCAGATATGATGAGAGTATTTAGTTCGGGGAGCCTACATCACTTGTCCAAGGTCACCGCAGCTGCGTATTAGACAAAGCCAAGATTTGAATTTAAGACCCCCACCCCTAGGGCCTGCACTCTCCACTGTGCATGATACATCCTTTGGCAAACACCTGTCAACTAAGTGATTCCTTCTTCTCCTTTCAACACATCAACGTTCATGAAATGTATTGGAAAGTTTGAATTTTGTTTCTTTGGAGGAATACTTGAGAGGACCCGCACTCTGAAACTCACTCCCGCGTGTCTGCCTTGTTTTCAACTGCAGCCACCATTGACCTGCGAGTCCAGCCTCCTCCGGCAGCACGAGTCCGGCCTCAGCTCCAGCAGCTGTGAGCTCAGCCAGTACATGGCAGACGCTGAGCAGTGCGTTTCTGTGGCTTCAGCCGCTTGGAGCCCAGTTCAGGCCGGTGGGTACTAAAGTGATCTCAGGACTCGGCTGAGCCCGACGAGGAAGGCGAGGTGGCAGGTCTCTGGGAAAGCCACCCTTGCCTGTGTCTCCCAGTGGATCACTGTTTGCTTGATTCGCTTATGTAGGCGCCCTGGGTGGAGAGGCCAGTTCTGGCTGTTTCCTGCCTCTGTGCTTGTGACGGAGAATCACCATAGCTGACCCTTGGAAGGGAACACTGCCCCCAGCCATCCGCAGGCTGGGAGGGGCGGAGGTGCCTTTAAGGAGCAAATGAAGAAAGTAAAGACCAGAGAGAATTAGGAAAAGCAAAAGTAGGACACAAAGCATAATTGCTTTGCCTGGATGTGGAGACGTCATGAGTACAGAGGCTACAAGAGCCAGAGACTCCTTGGCCTCCAAGTGACACTGAGCGTCTGGGCGGGGTGCGATGTCATTTGGGCCGAACATCGGATGCATGCATTATGTTCTGACCCATTCTCAGAGGCTTACATCTGACTGGAGCATGGAGTGTGGGCTGCTTCTGATCTTGGAGCCCACTCAGAATCTTATCTTGGTCCCAAGGTGGATGTGGGCAGAAATATATCTGTGACATATTTCCAAACTGAAGAAAAACAGCGGAAGTAATGCTAACAATGTCCATCTGTGTCTGTTGGTCAGGGGATGTCTCTGCAGCTGATCCCAAAGCACCCATGAAGTTCTATGGCCCTCATGTACCTGTGAGTTTTGGACCAGGAGGTCAGCTGGTGTGTGTGGCGCCCAGCTCGCCCACTGGTGGGCGAACAGCCCTTGTTGACCTGCACAGCGTGGAGGTGAGCAAGACCCTGTGTCCTGCAAGGCTGGCACGTTGCTCACCAGCTCTTCCTGACCTGCTTGCCCTGCTTCCTTTGCCAAACCCCGAGGCTCTAGGAATGGGGTGCTCTTGTGGGGCCCTGGCCCATCCACCTACTGGACTGGGGGAAGTGCAGGAATGGGTGGAGCTCTGCTCTGAAAGAAGTGATGCCAGACCTGTGTTTCTCCTGAGATGTGAGGGGTTCATCTTAGCAGCAAGACGAGACTTTTGTCCTGCTGTCTCCACAGGGCACCGAGCCGCATCTCGGACCTCGGCCCGGGCTCTGATGCTGGACTTGATTGAAAGGGGCATTGGGTGGACACAGTCTTGAAGACCAAATCTAATTTTTTGTTCCAGATTATTCTTAACGATTCAGAAGAGCAAGAGGAGATGAGAATTTTCTCAGGACCCCTGATCAGGTGAATAAGAGGTGCTGAGCACGGGCTTTTGAAACCTAGAAAATCTTCCTGCCCAGATCAGCATTTTTGGGGGATTTGCTCTTGGTTTCTGTGGAAGAAAATGTCTATCCTTGCTGGAGTAGAATTCTCTGGGCTGCAAGGTAGAACCAAATGTGCCCTAAGCCATTTTGTCAAGCCATTCAATAGTTGAAGAACAGAAAGAAAAATTAGCCAGCAGTTTAGACATTTAATATTAGTTCCATTGTGCAGAGGTTACATGGTAGGATGTTTTAGTGTTCTGTGTACTTGATAGATATTAGTAGGCAAGTGGAGCACAGCCTGGGAAGTCATAGACAAGTGGATCATAGTAGAAAAATTCTTGCAACAGTGGCTTTTTTCTGGAGAGAAATAACATTGTCAGTGTTCAAGTTACCGAATAGTGTGCTGGTCTGCCCTCTGCAGGACTTATCTGGAACTGCTTTTAAATTCTTAGTCCTATTTCAGATATTCAGGGCACTTTTTTTGCGGGTACTCCTGGCTAGGTGACAGAGGACCTGGGTGCTAGGCCCAGGCGTCCTAATGACTAGTGGCACCATGGTGGACAGGTCATTTAGCCCTCTCTGAGCCTAGTTTCCCCTCAGTAGGTATAACACCTGCTTAGTCTACCACAGGCTTGGCCGTGAAGCCTTTTAAATACTATCACTGCTCTATAAACGCATTCTTATCATGCAGCTCCCTCCAAGAAAACCTCCATATGGTGTCGGGGCAGCTCCTCCACGTGAGCACGAGTGTTGTCTCTTTCTTACACACAGGCACACGGATGTGGGATAGCGAACCGAGTTGGACATTGGGGTGCTGGTCCCCCCTTGGCTTTGCTTTTCTTGGATGATCTCAAGCAAAACATATTGCCAGTTTATTGACACTTAATATATGCCAGACAATGTGCTAGTTCCTTTTTGTATGGAGTAGTTCTTGTGTTGTCCCTATTTCCGAGGAAAAGCTGAGGCTCAGAGGAGGTAAGAAACTAGTCTAAACTGAGACAGGGCAGGCTCAGACTTAGACCTAGGTTGTCTGACTCCAAAGTCTGTGCTCTTGCCTACTGTCCTGTGCAGTTACTTCAGGTCTCTGGGCCTCAATTTCCTCATCTGTAAAGTGGAGGGGTGCACAAGAGAATCTCTGAAGCCCCTCCTGTTCTGCAAGGAAATAACTGCCCTGGAGCTACATGCAGACTCATCGCGCCAGCCAGCGGGGCTGTCAGCATCTGTCTGACCCCACCCAGCCAGCACCGCTGCTGTGGGAGGAGCCCAGTGTCCTGAACAGGGGAAGTGTCTGCCCGCTCAGTCTTTGCTCCCTGGTACTTTTCCGTAGGGAAGATGTACACAAGGTGGATATCATGATGTTTTGCCAGCAGAAAGCAGCTCAGAGCCGGAGATCTGAGACACCGGGGAGCAGAGACTCAGCTCTGCTGTGGCAACTCTTGGTTCTCCTTTGTCGCCAAAATGGGGTAAGTGCCTGCTTTCATGGGCAAGTGGATGCAGGCTAGACTGAAATTTTAAGTCTTCATGGGATAGATAAGATTCGATTTATGGCATGATTATGAAAAGCAATATTAGCTGGGCATGGTGGTGCACGCCTGTAGTCTTAGCTACTCAGGAGGCTGAGGCAGGAGAATTGCTTGAGCCCAGGAGTTCGAGACCAGCCTGGTCAACGCAGCAAGACCCCATCAATAAATAAATAGGTAGGTAGGTAGAAAAATAAATGACTAAATATCTAGCTACCCAGCAAAGAAGCATCAGATTGCCCCAAGGGGGAAAATGGCTCAAATGTTGATGCCAGTTTGCTAGTGTGAGCCTTTCCCCTGATGCTCTTCTCCCCTGGCTTGGGGTCATCGTACAGTTCCTGGGTCCCTGTACCAGCCAGATAATACCCCTGTGCAATTGTGGACCTTTCTGGTAAGCTTGGTGGCTCCTGATAGGCAGAACTTAACCAAGGTAGTGTTGCTGAAGGTTGAAATAGAGGAATCCAAGGAAGCACTGCCTTGTACTTGCACGACTGGCCTCCTTGTGAAGAACGCAGGCGCCCTGGTGCCTTCCTTCTCCGGCGTGGGCTGCCAGCTCGAGGACTAGCAGGAGTCTCCCCTGGATGGTGCCCTTTGCCTTACAGTCCATGGTGGGGTCTGACGTTGCTGAGCTGCTGATGCAGGACTGCGGGGCGCTGGAGGAGTACAAGAGGCAGCCCCCTGTGGCCAACCTCATCCCTCTGACCGATGAGGACTGGCCCGTCCTGAGCTCTGGGAACCGGAACCTGCTCACTGGGGAGATCCCCCCCAGCGTGGAGACGCCTGCTCAGAGCGTGGAGAAGTTCACTGAGCTGCTCTACTATGGAAGGAAGAAGGCAAGTATGCCCTTCCTCCACACTTGTTTTAAAAAAGTCACCACCATCCCTTCCCACCACTCACACTTCCTCCAGTTACATGGCTAGTACACGCTAATTTCAGGGAGCACATGAGAAGTTCAGAAAGGTACAAAGAAGAAAATAAGAACACCCATAGTCCTACTATTAAAAGATAACAAACACCTGGTAACACTTTGATATGTTTACTTCCAGCATTTTTCTATGCATATACATTAAAAATAATGTAAAATAATAAAAAATAAAAAAATAAAAATAAATAAAAAAATAAAATTACATATAAAATTGTTTATTTCTTTTTTTTTAACTTAAGATTATATGGTGAAATACCCCCATGGCATTAAATATGCTCCAGTAGCACTATTTAAAAAAATGGCTGCATAATACTCCATCATATGAATGTATCATTTTATTTAATCAATCCACTATTATTGAATATATAGGCCATATACAGTTTTGTCAGCCATTATGAATTATACAGTCTGCACATCCTATTACCTAAGTTTTTGGCCGATCTTTTAATTTTTTTAGGATAGATTTCTAGAAGTGGAAATATTGGGTTAAAACATGTGCACTCAACTCTGCCCTTGTCATGTGAAAGCAGCCACAGAAAGTACAGAAATGAATGGGTTTGCTGTGTTTCAATAAATGTCATTTATGGACATAGAAATTTGAATCACGTATCATTTTCATAGGTAGTAAAATATTATTTTTCTTGATTTTTTTCCAATTATTTAAAAAGTAATTAGCCTATGGGCTGCACCAAAATAGGCAGTGGCAGGATTTGGCCTTCAGGCCATATTTTGTTGACCTTTACTGTATATCCTATATAAATACCTCCCTCATTTCTTATGTTGGCATAGTTTTCTATGGTTAAATTACAATTAATTTAAATCCCCTGTAGATTGACATTAAGATTATTTCCAATCTTTTGCTATTACAAACAATGCTGCAATGAATAATCACTGTCATTTTGCCCATTGTGAGAGAATACTTCTAGAAGAGGAAGTGTGGGTCAAAAGATATATTGGGTTGTAATATTGACACATATTGACAAATTGCCTTTTTAAGAGGTTGAACCCCTTCACTCTACCAGCAATGTATAAGAGTTCCTGTTTCTCCAAATTCTCTCCACAGTTTGTTTCTAAACTTTTTGATAGATACCAATATGAGAAGTTAAAAAAAAAAATTAAGTGTAGTTATTTGCATTTCTGTTATTATGAATGAAATTGAAGATCTTTTAATTTTCCACATTTTTCCATTGTGTCTTTGATCCTCACTTATTGATTTGTTGGAGCTCCTTATGTTTTTAGAATTTTCTGTCCCAAATCACAACTTTCTGGGGGTCACATTTAAAAAGGCTTTGCCTACTTCAAAATTAATTTATGAAAATGAAATTGAAGTTTTTTCCTGACTTCACATTTACATTTAAATATTTAGTTTCTTGTTTTTTTGTATATGATGCTCTTTTATTTATTTATTTTCACATTTATTTCTAATTTTTCCAATTTATTTTTTAATTTGTATATATTTATGGAGTACAAGTACAATTTTTTTTCATACTCATCAAACTTTATTTATTTCAAAACACTAGAGGGGTATGGATGTTTCTGTTATATGAATACATGAGTGCTATTTTATTATGCTGACACGTTGCGCTGTGGTGAAGTCAGGGCCTTCAGTGCATAAATCTCTGAAGCAACCCGCCAAGCAACCTCTCATCATGCACCTTAAATTTATTTTTCTGCTGTATACTAGGGACTTGTAATTTCACCAGTGATTTGTTTATTCAATAAACATTTATTAGCAACTATTACTCTTAAGACATTGAACCTAGTGGAGGACACAGAGATAAATCAGCCATGAACTCTTCCCTTAAGAAAGATAAATAATGACAATGACAACAGCAGCAACAAAAGCAAAGATTTTGAAAATACTTGCTACCTGCCAGGCATTTGCTTACCATTTTAGATGCATTATCTTATTATCTTCGTAGAAACCTTGTAAATTAGGTTTTCCTTGTTTTATGTATTTATAGGTGAGTAAAGTTGGTAAGTGGTAGAGCCAGGGTTTAGATCTAGGCAGTCCAATGCCTGAGCCTGGGCTTCTAACCACCCACACGCCACCTTTCATACCTTGAGCCCCAGGTAAGCCAGAGATAGATGGAGAGCTGCAGGGGTTCAGAATCATTTACAAGGAGATGGATATCAATACTTCAAAACATTTATTCATATTTGACTGGGGCCTTATTTCTGGCATTGTGTGAAATTGATATTCTTAATATAAATTCTCAATTTCTTCACTTATTCTTAAATTATAGTTTTGGAGGAGCAGATTTTTGAATAAACTTCGTGATTCCCAACCAAGCATTAGTAACTGCTTTAGAAAAAGATTATTAAATAGCTAAAACATACTAAAGGAGCAACTCTTAATGTCATTTTTTTTTACTTGCATTGTATGTATGGCTGAATTCCCTAAATGTGTCTCCTTAAATTTGCACCCTCGTTCTCTTCAGATAAGAATACGTGGGGGAGTATCAAAGAACTCTTCAGCTGGAGGTGGAATTACCTCGTCAGTGACGTCCCATCCAAAAATCATTGAAGTTTTTTCCTGACTTCACATTTACATTTAAATATTATTTTAATATAGTTATTAAACCCAGCTCAAAATCGCACATATAAATAGGCCATTAGTAAATAATTCCAAAAACCGAATGAAATGGTATTTGTGTATGTTTTAAAATTTAAACTGCTTCACCTGGTTAATGGTGTTGGTAATTTGGCTTATGAAAGTATTTGATAGTCAGCAAGCAATCAGGCACAGCATTAGCGGGGCAGGGTCACTGCCGCGTGCGAGCGGCTGGATTGCGACGGCGGCAGTGTGTCCCGTCACGGCGGGGAGTGCGTCCCGTCACGGCGGGGAGTGCGTCCCGTCACGGCGGGGAGTGCGTCCCGTCACGGCGGGCAGTGCGTCCCGTCACGGCGGGCAGTGCGTCCCGTCACGGCGGACGGCGGCAGTGCGTCCCGTCACGGCGGGCAGTGCGTCCCGTCACGGCGGGAGTGCGTCCCGTCACGGCGGGCAGTGCGTCCCGTCACGGCGGGCAGTGCGTCCCGTCACGGCGGGCAGTGCGTCCCGTCACGGCGGGGCAGTGCGTCCCGTCACGGCGGGGAGTGCGTCCCGCGACGTCAGGCGGTGTGTCCTGGGAGAGTGGCCGGCCGCTCCCGGGGCCTTCAGCTTGCAGTTTCTAAGGTTTCCCGGGAGCCCCTCCGTTCCAGGCACCCTGGGGAAAGCGCAGGGAGAACTGGGTGTGGGCCGTCCTCCCACAGCCGGGGTGCACACGGCGCTCCCCTCCGTCCCAGGCCTGGAGCTGGGCGCGGGTGGGTGCGAGCGAGGGAAATGTAGCCAGCGCCCTGCCCAGGAAGGAGAGCGGCGATCTTGGCGAGCGCCTGGCAGTCTCCGCCACAGCTAAGAAAGGCACTGTTCCTATGTAAGCCCCCACGAATGCCATTTTGCTGCTTATATTTTGAGACTCAATTCTTGGGGGAGGTTCTTGTCTCACTTTCGGTGCACAGGTTCGTTCAAACGCTTGGTCGCTTTCGCTGACCAGATAGGGCTAACTTTGCAGGAAGCTACTGGAACGGCATGGTGGGCTTTGACAGAGGGAAGGCTAGAGAAAGATGCCGTGCCAGTTAGGGCCTGGCCCCTTGCTCTTCCTCTTTCATGTTCAGATGCGAGGCCCTAAGAGGTTTCTGGAAGCCCGCCTCCACTGCTCATGGCATAGCCGTGCCTGAGTGCAGGAAGTGGCTGTTGCAGGAAGGTGGGCAAGGCGCTACTGACTGTGACGCTGCTTTTCAGGAAGCCTTGGAGTGGGCCATGAGGAGCCAGCTGTGGGGCCATGCTCTGTTCCTGGCCAGCAAGATGGACACAAGGACCTACAGCTGGGTGATGAGCGGGTGAGTCGGGACTTGCAGAGCAGATGGGTGGGGCAGCGAGGCCGCTGAGGTGGTGCCGAGGGTGGGGACAGACGCAAGATGCACTGAGGAGCCGCACACTGCAAGCGCCTTTCCACGCTCTCTTTTCTGAGCTGAAGACACCATTTCTCTTCTCCAGATCTTTATAGCCTAGACACAGATGCCTTCTTTCTACCTGCTAAGTTGAATAAAACATTTTAGTAAAATTTCCCAGGGCCAGAGTTTCCAAAACTTAAGTATATTTCTAAATTGCGGTCGTCTTCTCTCTTTGGGAGGGGCTATTCTAGCTAGTTCCAACAGCGAGGGAAAGGTGACCGCCTGAGTGTGCCTGATAGGGCCTTGGGCGAGGGCTCTGGCGTGGGGAGTGCCTGCTGCTCAGGTTGGTCTTGCGGCGGCGGGGACGTGGGCGCTGAGAGGTGGTGGGGCGTGGGGTAGCAGGGCTGTGAGCTGTGCCGGGAAGAGGAGTAACAGGACTGGGAATTAGATCCAGGAGTCTACATCTGCGGCAGCGGAGGGTGCTGGGATGGAGGGGTGTGCTGGGTTACAGATCATGCCAGCACACCGTGATCTGGGCGCCAGGGCAGAGGCCTAGGAAGGACGTCCAAACCAGGGCAAGGCAGGAGTGGAAGCAAGGGGACATCGCAGGCAGGCGCTTGGAATAAGGGAGAGGAACAGTAAAAGAGAACCAGGATGAAATGCAGGCAGTGGATACAGGGCAGCTGGGTGGAGAAGGGTTTCTAATGAGTCCTCCAGGCCCAGACAGCATCTGTGGGTTGCCAGGGACAAACCTGTGGGTGGGGGTGGGGGTGGGGGGGCCTGCAAGGAGCAGGCTTGGGTCAGACAGTGAGAAGGATGTTGCCTCAAAGTGTCTGTTGAATAGTGTTGGTTAAAGCTGTGAAGCTACCCTCTCGGCTTAATGCATCTTGGATTATCTGTAAATCCTGTTGGGCAGAGATTGGATTAGAGGGACACTTCCACTTGAAGTTCAGTCTGTGGGCCTAATGGCTGTCACAGTCCCTGGGTGTTTATTCTCCACCATGGCCTCAGTCGAGGCCTGCTCTGGCCCTCAGTCTTCCCAGGAGCAGTGGTGCTGCTGCGTCCTGCTCGGGGCTGGGACGGTGAGGAACACTGCGGTCTTCTTGCGATTGGTGCGCTGAGCCCCTGTGGCGAGCGTGCTACTAAACGATGGTGTTGTGAGGGGTGATTTTTCCTTTGGGTTCTGAAAATGAACATCCCGCAACCTCACGTTGTGGCATACATCTCTGCTACAGAGTTTTGCCTTGGGCCATTGATTCCTGATGGGGCCAGTGAATTGTAAAAAATTTCTTACTGAGTATGCTTAAATCTCAAGTCAACTGTAGAGCTGATTATATCCTTGTTAAGCATGTCCCAGGGTTTGTCGTCAGCAGAATCATTTCTGGTCCCTGTTCCACGCCTCTTTGGTTACTGAAAATGGCTATTTAGTGCTTTTGAGTAAAAGTACTACAGAGCCAGCTTGTGATGAGCCAGAAAAACAGCGCTTAGTGCTGTGAACTTGCACAGGGGAGGGCTGTTGGGGCGGGTAGGAGCTCCGGAAGGAGGGGCCCATGGAGAAGAGCTTCTAGCTAAACTGCTGCGGCCCCGCAGGGCCTTTGATAGCAGTGGGCTGTCTCAGTGATAGATAGGACAAAGCCTACAGAAGTGGTTATTCCAGAATTAGCCATCAGGGCTGGGGTGCAGAAAGCACGCCCCGTGATGAGATCTACTTGGGGAGTGCGGTAGAATGAAGACCCTGCCAATATTCCCCAGAAGGGGGGTGTTATAGAGGTACAGTGGCAAGCAAAGAGATGCTCATGTTCCAACGAAGGTGCCAGAACCAAACAAAAATACGCAAGGCCCAGGCCTTGCTTGCAACGGGACAGAGGCTCCCCGGGTGTGGCCCCACTGACTGCTCCTCTCCCGCAGCTTCACCAGCACACTGGCGCTCAACGACCCCCTGCAGACCCTCTTCCAGCTCATGTCCGGGAGGATTCCACAAGCAGCCACGGTACTCTCGTGACGGGATTTCTTCAACACCCGGGCATCTTAAGGGTTGGGGGGAGTGGCGGCTGCTCAGGAATGCAGCGATGGCCTTCAGGATGAAGCATGGTGACACTAGTTTGTTACTCGCCTACCATGTGCCTGGCCCTGTGCTAAGTGCTTTGATGCATATTATTTCGTTAAACTCGTGGAGGTAGGACTTATCATCTGTTTTGCAGATGTGGAAACTGAGGTGCAAAGGTTAAAATGACGTGAGGTTCAAGGTAATGAGCCGTGGGGCCAAGACAGCTTAGCCCTGTCTGAGCCTGCAGCCTTGCCCTCCGGCAGCGCCTCACGCCCGCGCCTGCACTCCAGGCCTTCCCAGCGGGGCTGCCCCCTGCAGGAAAGCGGCCCACCCTGCAACTGGCGCCTCGGAGCTGGGCACGCTGGGCTTTATGTCTTGCAGAGTTGAATATGGCTGAGGAGAAGTCTGTGGCCAGCTTGATAGTTTTCTCATTAGGAGAGACTTGATCTTTTTGTTCCAAAGCATTCCTTCCTTATCTTTAGAGTCTAGTAGCTTGACTGGGTCATAACTTGGTATTGACTCTCTGGGTCAGTTTTTTCCTAGGGCATATATGGTGTGCCCTTTTAATATGTGCATTCATATCTTAGTGTTCAGGGAACTTTTCTTAAATTATATCTTTTAATATGTGTTTTGTTCCATTATATTGGTTTTCTTTTCAGGAACTCTCTATATATGCAGTATATATGAATATGAATTATATATATAATTTTTTTCTCTCTTTTCTTTCTCTCTTTCTCTCCCTCCCTTCCTTCCTCCCCTCCATCCTCATCTTTCCCTCTTTCTTTTTTTCCTTCTTTCCGCCCTCTGTGTCTCCCAGTGTGTTCTCGCCGGCGTCTCTGCTCCATGCTGTGCCCTTTCTGTCTGCGCCGCGGCCCGCGCCCGCGTCTCTTCCTTGAGCTCTTACAGCTCAGACTTGTGCTCTTGCCTATAGAAGAAATCGTTTCACTGTTTTACTTAAATTCACAATGAAATGTTTGGCGACAGTTTTCATTTGTTTTGTGGTAACATCTTTGTGGTGAATGTTCTCTCTGCTCTCTGTATATTTTACATGTTGTATTCCTCCTTCCGTCCTGTGGTGTATTTGCACGATTCTGTGCTCATTCCCTGATAGTGTGTTCCTTTAGAGGAGACGACTCTTTCCCAGGCCAGTCATGCACAATTAGGTCTGTGCTGGGGGAGGGTGAGGGCCGTGTTCCAGGCCATTTGGCACTTTCCGCATGACCTGGAGTTTTCCACGTGAGCCTGTGTAGCCCGTGCTTCTCCGCGCCAGTGGAGAGGGCCGGGGGACCTCTCTCTCTCCTGTCCTCTCTGCTTCCTCCTGATGCACCTCTGTTCAATCTCCAGCACTCTTGGAAGCTTTTTCTCATATCTTGAGGCTTGGGTTCAAAAAAGTTTTTTTTGTTTTAATTATTATGGGTACATAAGAGTTGTATGTATTCATAGGGTACATGTGTTTGCAATGAACAGTAGTTTTAATGAAATTGGACTTCACACTGTTGCATTTTGTCCTTCTTATTGCTTGTGGATGACTCTAAGAAGAAAAGGGCAATGACGGCTTTCATGCCCCATCATCAAATTAACTGGCTATTTTGTGACATAGTGTGCCTCACAACTCAGCTGACTGTCCCTTGCTCTGCAGCAAAATTGCATCATGTCACGAAGCACTAAGTTCAGGAAAGGATAAAATTAGCTATGGTTCATTGTGTCTTATTGCAAGAGGAAAGTTAGCTAAATTTCCCCTACTTTTAGGTGAGAAAGCTGAGGAGCCAGAGCTAACGTACCGATGCAGCGCTTGATCTTAGGTGCTGGATGTCTCCTACCTCCTGGCATCTACCGAAAGGCCAGACTTAGTTACATGAGGTGAACGGGGTGGCGGAGGAGCGTGGAACCGCACAACACAGACACGGTTTCATGCACGCTTAACTTGGACTCAGCTCCTCACTGCCATGCGAGCTTGGCTCTGTGCCTTATTCTCACAGAGCCTCAGTTTTTCATCTTTGCGGGGATTTTAGTGCCTAACCAGTACAGTTATTCTGAAAATTAAAGGAGAGAGAATGTCTGAACATATCAACCACCAAGCGTGGTCCATTGAAGTTTGTTAATAAATGTTTGTATTCTCTCTCTCCACCCTCCCTCCCTCTGTAGATCTACTTACAGTGATTTTTTCCAAATCACCCAGGGAGGAGACAGAATAATGACTTCCAAGTTTTTGTGTTTTTTTTTTTTTTTATTTTTAAAAATTCTTAAGCAAGGGCTTTTCTTCTCTTTCACTGGTTCCTTTAGCTCCAGCAAGAAGGGACCTGGCTTACAAATAAAATGGGGGTAATAATGGTATCTGGCACATGTGATCATTGGTGGGAGAAATGCTTAGCACAGAGTAGGGTTCATGGTCTGAATGCAATGAATGAGAACTGCTATTATTATCATAATTTATTATCATCCTCATCATCCTCATTTGCACTGTATTGCCCAGGCAAATAAGGAGTAAGTCTAAAATGGAGCTTGAGTTGGATAAAGCATGTTTTATTCTTTGGTATAATTATTACACAAAGACCAAATAATTGGAAATAATTTTGACCTCAAGATCTTGGTTGTTATTGTCAATCTCCCTGCTTTACCTATCTATGTAACAAACTGGAAGTTAGATTGGTCTGCAAATTACTTCTCTCCTCTGCTGAGCGTCTGACTGTGTGTGAGTTTACACCTACGTGTAATTTACAAAGTGCAAACCAAGTGTTAAGCACGATGCTATGTGCTTTACATACTATCTTATTTTATTATCAATAATAACCTTGTTAGGTAGAAATTATGATCTCCATTTTAGGGATGAGAGAACAAAGATTCAAAGATATCAAGAAAGTTGCTCAAGGTAACACAGTTGGTAGATGCAGGACTCAAGTTGAATCTAGGGCCTGTGTTGTTTCCACGACATTATATTATTTCTTTATTGATATTTCCTTCACTGAAATATCCTTCTTTAGAAGGGTCGCCTTAGGGCAAGATTGTAGGGAAAGCACAGTGTTTGTGGGGCTTTGTCGCAGTCCCACTCCTCGGTTTACCGTTGGAGTTCTACTGCTTCCGCAGTGCCACCGGAGGGATGGGGCACAGCCCTGGGCTGGGAAGGGGACTGGGGATTGAGGCCTGGCTGGGCCAGGGGGCTTGATTTTCTCGTTCCTGAAGTGGTGGTAGGAACTAGACTTCGTAGGGTTGTTGTGAAGACTAAATAAGACGATGTGTGTGAAAGGACCTTGTAAAAACAGAGAGCAGTCACCATTCGGTAAGGCATGGACAGGCCTGCGAGCCCCTGGCTGCCATGACAAGCCACCTCTACCTGAGCCAAGGGTGTTGGAGGCTCTCCTCCACAGGCACATCAGGGCTTCTGGGTTTCGTGTCTACTTGGGGTCAGGATACTGGGAAAAAGTTTGAAAATTAGTAAGTGACCAACAATGTCATTTCATTTCCCATTATCCCTGTTTTTATGGATCTATATGTATCTTTCTATCTGTCCTCTTGTCTGTCCATCCTTCTGTGAGTTTTGCTTTATTTAAAAAGGGGACTCTAAGTCAATGAATGACAGCATTGCAGGCGTGCAGTGAGCATTGCCTGAACTCCACAACAGGAAACACACCGCAGCCGCGTTTACCTGCTTTCCGACAGCCCTAAACGGCCCTGTGCGTTTTCATTGTTTCTGCTGTCTTCCAGTGCTGTGGGGACAAGCAGTGGGGAGACTGGAGGCCTCACCTGGCTGTGATGCTGTCCAATCAGGCTGGGGATGCAGAGCTGCACCAGCGTGCTGTTGTCGCCATGGGAGACACCCTGGGTGAGCAGACATCGCCCTGTGCCCTCCTCTCCTCCAGGGCATGTCCAGGCCAGTGCGAGCATCTTGTCCTTGGATTCTTTGATTCTGTGCAGGGCCAGAGTCTATGCCCGGGCCTTTTCCTGGCACCTCGGTGTTTTGGGGACAGCAACTCTGGGGAAAGGCATGTCCTTCTTGCCTCTGTTTCCCAGAATTTCTGGTGCGAGCTAATGCCGTCCAGGCCCTGAGCCCTGGTGTTCTGCTGTGGGACACCGTCCGCCCCTGGTGGGTTTCCCTGGTAGGCGGCGTGAACTCACGAGGCACCTTGCCTGCTGCTGGCTTCGGTCCCCCAGCGACCAGTTCTGCCAGACAGGAAACTCTGTTTTTGCCTGAACTGCCCTAGGTAACTTCGTGAATGTGGCCTCATAAATGTTCCAGATTAGTAGTTCTCAAATTTGGCCAAGGGGCAGGACATCTAGAAATCACGTGTTCTGGTGGAGCTTTGTGAAGCAGTGCTCCCCCAGACTTAAAATAGCTGTGTGTGCGTGGGGTCGAGCCAAGGCAGCGGAGGCCGCGGGCCTCGTGTTTGTGGAGCCTCCTGGCCGGACGTGCCAGGCACAGCGCCTGCTTGAGCGCATTCCATTGTGAGGCGATGGAAAATGTGCAGGAGAACATCTTAAAACTGGGAACAGCTTGGTAATTAGAGCGATATTCTGGGCACTGGGAGAAGTCTGCTATGTGTGACTGGCGCAGGGGAAGCCGAGCTTAGGACTGCTGCCGCCCGCGGCCGCCCGCCCAGGTGGAGGCACCCGGCTCAGCACCACCCTCTGGGGGGACGGGAGTGTTCAGAGAACTCCTAGCCGGAAATCCACCTGGGGCATGAAAGGGCGCCTTACTCGGGCTGAGGGCTGAGGAGAGATGTCACGTCTGAGGCCGCACGCGCGGGCGGGAGGCCGGGCCCCTTCTCCCTGCCGCCCCTCCGGCCCAGCTGACTGCCGCTCTGCCCTGCAGCCGGGAAGGGGCTGGCGGAGGCGGCCCACGTCTGCTACCTCGTGGCCCGCCTGCCCTTCGGCTACTACACCGCGGAGACCGCCCGGATGGCCTTGCTGGGCAGCAGCCACAGGTACGGCCGGGGGCGGGGGGCGCTTCCCGCAGGACTGCGTGAGCCCTCGCTGGGTCACGTCCCCGCTTCGCACGTTCCGTGTCAGTGCCCGCGGCTGCCGGCCCGCGTGCGTCGCTTGCTGCGCAGGCTGGGCAGGGCGTGCCCTGGGGGGCGCCGTGCAGGGGTCGCGGTGCGCCCCGCGGCCGGCCGGGCCTGCCCTGGGGGGCGCCGTGCAGGGGTCGCGGTGCGCCCCGTGGCCGCCTGGCGGTGCCGGCCTGCAGCCAGAGGCCGCGTCTGGAACGCTGTCGGGGGAGGCGGTGCGGGCGGCAGCCCTGCGCGAGCCCTGAAAGCCGCCCTGCACAACTAGAAAGGGGAAGAAGTTTCTGTTTCGTCTCTGCTTGGGGCCCCAGCACCCCCACAGTGACTTAGCGCACAAGCTACTGAGAGTCCCGCTGCCCCTTGTTCTCTCATCCTCTGTCCTCTCACGCAGAAGGGCCTCCGGGAGCCCTTAGGGGAGGGGCCGGGGCGTCTCGCCAGCCCTCCTGATGATAGTTAACAGTTAGCACACTCTTGTGTGGTGTTGATCATTTCCTTTACACTATTTCCTCGAATTGTTAACAAATTTGCCCTGTGAGGAATGTATGTTTTTGATCTTCACGTGTAGAGGACAGGCAAGGCACAGAGAGGTTAAATAATCTGTCTAAGACAGCACAGCTAGTGTGCGGTCCAGCTGGATCTGGACTCCAGGCCTGCAGGCTGCACAGCCTTTACTGTCAACTCTTGCACCAAAGTGCCCGCCGCTGTAGCAGCACTCGTCCCGGGCCCTGGTGTTCGACAGCACAAAGCTTATCAAAGAGGCCCTTCTGTGCCAAATGTGATGATAAGTGTAGGTGGGTTAATATGGCTCCCTGCCTGTGTTTGTGTTGCATGGGGAAATTTCTGGAGAGAAAGCCCTACCCCCCAGGAATGACCTGGTGACTGTGATTTCAGACACCAGTGTAAGTCGCTGGGGGAGAGATTTTAGGGCACATTCACCCAGTCCTCTTCCTCACTGGTAGAATAAACTGTCACTTGGATTTCTGGCTTGGCAGTCCTCTTCATCCTCTGCCACAGCTCGTCCCAGTGTTCCTGGGTGTCACACAGCCCCTCTTGTATGCCAGTTTGCTCAGACTAGGGGTGCCTTTCGCAAGTGCGCGTGGCGCTAGCGGCGAGAAGGCTGGCTCTTGGCCTGCGTAAGAGGGGGACCTGTGCCCCTCGGGGCAGCGCACCTTAAGTTGCTGCCCTCCAGCAAGAGGTGGGAGCTCCCTGCAAACGGCTGCCCAGCCTCCTCTCCCAGCACCCGGTGCCCGCCCAGCTCTCGTCGCTCCCTCCCCAGCTCAGGAGCTAGAGGGAGAGGAGGCAAAGCGCTCACTCTGGGGACCCAGGTCTCTTCCCTCTTCTGAAGCTGCCTCAGGGATCAGCCCAGGGTGAAGCTCTACCATGGAAGGATGCGGCTGGTGTTTGCCCTCCGCTAGGATTTGAATCCTGCGTCCCCTCCTGCCTGCACAGCTCAGTCGCTCCTGTTGTTATTCCCTGGTTTTAGTCAAGAGTTTTGGAAATTTGCAACAACTGAGGCGATGCAGAGGACGGAAATCTTCGAGTACTGCCAGATGCTGGGCCGCCCCAAGTCCTTCATCGCTCCCTTCCAGGTAACCGCGGAGGAGGCCCTGCCCCACCGTGCAGCCTGGCGCCCTCCTTGGGTTTGGCTCCTGGCACCTGGGCTAGCTCATCTCCTCAACGCTCCCTCATTAGTTGGAACGTGGAAAGGGTTAGGATTTCTTTTTATATCCCGCAAAGGTCTGCACTTTATGATGCAGAAGCAAAACCTTGCCGAGCCCTCTCTGCCAGAGGCCTCGCTCACTCCTGATGCGGGAGGCCGTGCCTGCAGCCTTGCCCCGCACCTCACTCCCAACAGTGCCCTCTCTCCAGACAGCTCCCTCCTCCCGAGCCCCTCAGCCACCCTGGGAGGGAGTGGGGCACCAGCCCACCCCGCTGCCCTCCCGAGGCTCCTTCTCGGGTCTCTGTTGGACTCCTCCGTCTTCTACCTCTGGAAAGCCCTCCTGCTCAGAGCTTGGCCCTCACCCTTCTTCTTTCCTCTCATCGATTCGGCTGTGCAGGCGGCGCTCATCTCTGTCCTGTCTTTCAACTTCTCTACTTGATGTCCCTGTGTCACCTGAAACTCATAGGGACCACTGCTGACGTCGTGTCATCCTCCTGTCCAGACCCTCCGTGTGCCCCAAGATCCGCATCATTCCTTCACTCGTGAAGGTCCCTCACCACTGGGACTCGAGTGACGGAAGGGGCGGCCCTAGTGGTCTCAGTGGGGCAACGGTGGTGCCTTGTCGTGGGGCTGGCGCGGGAAGGGGCGGGCTGGGCTGGTGGCACTGGAACCGCATCGGGACCGCTGCAGCCACAGCGTAGCTCCCACGGCTGGCCGCAGGCCCCGGTCGGCACCGAGCTTACCCTGCCCCGTGCTCTGCTCTTAAGTGTGCAGGCTCCTCATCCTCCTGCCTGCAGTAGCGTCTTAGGCACGGGCCTTTCCCTGTGATTCTTTCTGTCTCCTTCAGTGCTCGGCATTAAGAGGACACATAGCAACAGTAACATGCACACAAACACAGCGCAGAACAAATAAAACCTTGCAAATGACTGTAATATGGAGAAATGACCCATTTAGCGTCTCTTCTTTAAGCATGTTGCCAAAGACTCACCTTTGTGAGCAAAGCCTTGCTTTGCCTCTTCGTACCCTCTCCTGGCACCTTGGTCTCTTGTTCCTTCCCCTCTTCATTCATCCCACCTCCCTGTTAGTTGGGTGCAGCTTTGGGCTGACAGTGATGACATGACCAGTTTTACGACTGTGTTCTGCATGCCTGACATCGTGCTATTCTGCTTTGTGTGTGTTACTTCTAATCCTGAGAGGTAGACGTGATCACCCCCTTTTACAAAAGAGGAAACTGAGACTCAGAGGGCTTATATGCTGCCAGCTCACATCTCTTGCATCCTGTTTGCTCTGAGTACTTTACAAGGATTATCTCATTTAACCTTCACAACCTCCAGGAAGGTGGGTAGTATTAGTATTGCCATACTAGTCAGGAAACTGAGGCACAGAGAGAGGAGGTAGCTAGCCCAATGTTTCACACTAGCGAGGGCCTTGGATTTGAACTTGGGTCCGTCTGATAAAGTGCTCCTGCTTGCCCTGTCACTCATGCCTCCGCGGGAGGTACCTCTTTTTGTCAGTGCTCTCCACTGGCTTTAAGCCCCTTGTGCTGGGGCCTGTTTTTGCTTCTTTTACCTGTCCCTGTGGTGCCTGCTCCTGGGCCCCACATACATCTGGCCTCCAGAGATGTGTCCACCCAGCAAGCAAATGCTCCAGTGTACGTTCCGTGGTGAGCAGGACCTAGGAGGACTGAACTGATGTGACTCTCACCCTTTTCCCTGTAATGCAGGAATTGCGGGCTGCATTTGTAACTGTGCCCACGCACAGATAACGCATTCCAAATGGCACAAGGCTCTTGATATTTGGATGTCTGAGTTAGCAGAAGCTGGCAGTCAGATGACTTCCAAGAAGTCTTATCTACACCTCTCTCTCTCTCTCTTTTCCTGTCCCTGCCCGGATGGACTAGTCTCTGGCCCTGTTCCCTTCGCAGGTGTATAAGCTCCTTTATGCTTCCCGTCTGGCCGATTATGGCCTCGTGTCCCAGGCCTTGCATTACTGCGAAGCCATTGGCGCGGCTGTCTTGAGCCAGGGAGAGAGCAGTCACCCCGTGCTCTTAGTGGAACTCATCAAGGTGAGCCTCTCAAAGGGTTCTCTGCGTTGTTTTATCTTCAATATTCAGAGAAAGCCATTGTAGAGCAGCTTCGACTCCACGTTTCATCTTCTTCGAACACACTGTAAAATTTCAGCCCATGGCAGCTTTGACCATGCAGGCATGCCCCGATGTGATAAGCAGAGGCCGACACGACACAAAGAAGGCTGCTCCGGGCAGGCAGAGGTGGGATTGGGGGACTGGAAGCCATGTGTGTGCTACTCAGGAAATCCATTCTTGCATCTGCTTTTCTGGTACAGTAAAACTGCATGCTACAGCGAACCATTCTAATTACAAAAGCCGGGTTTAGAAAATATATTTTAGTGATTAAAACAGGAAATGATTCTTATTAAAATGCTTTTAAGTGCATACAATATTTTATCACATGTGGGATACATTTAAAATAGAAAACAAAAACATATCAACCTTTGTTTCCCAGGAAAGAAAACAGTGATCAAGCAAATAGTTGTTCATTAATTGAAGAAAAACTCATTAGCTAGAGACTTAAAAAGCAGCCTAATTTTTTGTTTTGTTTTAAATGGGGCCCCAGTGCCGGATTCTGTAACCCATCCACTTGTGGTGCTGAACCTCCCCAAACTCCCAAATTTCTGCCAACAGGTTGATGGTTGCAAGGAGCTCAAGGGCCCAGGATAGGTGATTAGGAAACTTTGGGGACTTAATCATGGAATAAAGCCTTGAAGCACAAAGTAGTATCTCCTGGGAGCTTGTTAGAAATGCAGACTCCCAGGCCCACTCCAGACCTCTGGAATCAGAATGAGCATTTTAACAAGGTTCTGAGTGATTCCTATGAACACGGAAGTTTGAGAAGCACTGGTGCAGAGCAGACAGCTTTGCAGAGAAATAAAGCTGAGTAACTGTTTCTCCTCATATTTTATTTAGTATCTAAGCCCCAAATGGGTTGTTTATTCATATTGGGAAAATACGTGCTGAATTTGCTGTTTCTCAGTTACTATTTACAATCTAATTCTCAAGTGAGTCATGGCTTTTTCTCTCCTTTTCCCTTGTTGCCTCTTTCCCCCACGTCTGTCCATTTCTGTTATTTCTCTCTCTTCTTTCCCGTATCTTACTTTCTGCCTCGGACCTGTCTGGAAACCCGGCACAGCTGGCGGAGAGACTGCAGCCGTCGGACCCTCTGGCTGTAGCCGGGCACGGCGGAGACAGAGGCCTGGAGCCAGACTGGCTGGCGCAGCTTCGGAGGCTGCAGGAGGGTCTGCAGGTGAGTGGGGCTGGAGCCAGGGCGCCGGTGGGCGGGCCCTGCGACTGGCTCTTCCTCCCCTCACCTTGGAGCAGGTGGGCGCTGACATTCACGAGCCCCCAGCCCCCAGGCATCGCGGTGGTCTCTGCCGTCACCCAAGACGCACTGCCTGTGTCCTGCGAAAGGTGGGCTCGAGCCCCTGCCGTGTGGAGACCGCTCGCATGCTCACGTGCGGCCCGGCGGGCGCCCCCACCGCTCTTGCCACCCTTCCCTGGGCCCCAGACAATATGTGTGCGGCCGTCAGAGCGTTGCCGTCTCCATCAGGGACGGTGGGGCACAGAGGAGCCGTGCCACTTTCATGTGACGTAGAGCAACTGCTTAAAAGACTTCTGGGCCAGGCTCTCTGGTCCTGCCGTTTGACAGACAGCCGCATCTTCTCAGGCAGCGCCAGCACCGTCTCCCAGACACCACGGTGAACGTGAAGGCCGGAATAAACGGCTTTGGCCGTTTTGGGCGCCTGGTCACCAGGGCTGCTTTTAACTCTGGCAAAGTGGATATTGTCGCCATCAACGACCCCTTCATTGACCTCAACTACATGGTCTACGTGTTCCAGTGTGACTCCACCCACGGCAAGTTCCATGGCATGGTCAAGGCGGAGAACGGGAAGCTTGTCATCAATGGCCAGCCATAACCATCTTCCGGGAGCGAGATCCCACCAAAATCAAATGGGGTGAAGCGGGCGCTGATTGCCTCGTGGAGTCCACTGGCGTCTTCACTACCCTGGAGAAGGCTGGGGCTCACCTAGATGGGGGTGCCAAAAGGGTCATCATCTCTGCCCCCTCTGCTGACGCCCCCGTGTTTGTGATGGGCGTGAACCACAAGTACCAAAACAACCTCACCATCGTCAGCAATGCCTCCTGCACCACCAACTGCTTAGCCCCCCTGGCCAAGGTCATCCATGACAACTCTGGCATCGTGGAGGGACTCATGACCACAGTCCATGCCGTCACCGCCACCCAGAAGACCGTGGATGGCCCCTCTAGGAAGGTGTGGCGTGATGGCCGTGGGGCTCTCCAGAACATCATCCCTGCATCCACTGGCGCAGCCAAGGCTGTGGGCAAGGTCATCCCCGAGCTGAACGGGAAGCTCACTGGCATGGCCTTCCGCGTGCCCACGGCCAACGTGTCCGTGGTGGACCTGACCTGCCGTCTGGAGAAGCCGGCCAAGTATGATGACATCAAGGTGGTGGTGAAGCAGGTGGTGGACGGCCCCCTCAAGGGCATCCTGGGCTACACTGAGCACCAGGTTGTCTCCTCCGACTTCAACAGCGACACCCACTCTTCCACCTTTGATGCTGGGGCTGGCATCGCCCTCTACGACCACTTTGTAAAGCTCGTTGCCTGGTACGACAATGAATTTGGCTACAGCAACAGGGTGGTGGACCTCATGGCCCACATGGCCACCAAGGAATAAGAGTCCCGGACCATCAGCCCCAGCCAGAACAGCGAGGAAGAGAGAGGCCTCAGCTGCTGGGGTGTCCCTGCCTCCTCGGTCCCCACCTCACTGAGACTCTCCCTCCTCACGACGCAGTTTCCATGCCAGAGCCCTGAAGAATGAGAGGGGCCTAGGGAGCCCCACCTTGTCATGTACCATCAATAAAGTTCACTGTACTAGGAAAAGACTTCTGGGCCTTTTCTTTCTGTTCTGACAGTTGCGAAAGCTGCTGCTTGTAATCGGAACGGTAATTGAAACGGGCCTCCTTCATTTTCCTTCTCCCATCCTGCTCCTGCAGCAAGGACAAAGTGGATTTTCTGAAGCACACACCGCCTGTCCTCCCTCCATCCGCCGCATGCCGAGGCCCAGTGTGCTCCCGTCGGCCCTTCCGGGGTGCAGGGGGCGGCCCTGGTCTCCGGCCAGCTCTGCCCGCTCTGAGTGCAGCTGGGAGACCAGGCGCCCGGCCCCTAAGCTTTCAGCTGAGGTTCCCTTGCCTTGTCCCTCCCACTGGAAATTTCTTTTTGTCTTGATTTTTGAACCTCCTTATTCTTTGTTCTTGTTTTTCTTTGTGCTGCTTAAAAGGATTTTACTTTATTTTCAACAGCAAAAGCTAACAGGAGACCTTGTGGATCCTCATTCTGCTCGCTCAGATATTTCAGGGTCCAGAGGAGCAACAACAGGTACTCAAAATGATGAACTGGTGATATAACTAGCTGAAGCTCAGGCTCTGATTATAGGCGACAAAACAATTTGCAAGACCCTCGCCCTCCCCTTCCCAGAGCGCCTTCCGGGTCTGGCGCCTCTCCGCTGGGCTCCTGGCAGCCCACAGGCCGGACACTTCCCAGTTCCTGCAGTTCAGGGTTTTAAATCCCTGGATGTTTTAGCGTTGCATTGTATTGTTAACTAATTGCTTTGCTTATGTTAATACTTTCTCCCCAGCTGGATGACTGTCTTGGGTCTAGAGGGTGTGGTTTATCTGTGTCCTATGTTAGTGTTGGGGTCATGGGAAGCTCTTGAGTTTGGAGCTATCAGCTGCCATATGACTGTGAATAGACGCGTTCTTCCCTCAGGAGGCCTCTGGGCGCCAGGTTGGCAGGCAGCCTGTCCACAGTCACTCCACGCGCGCTCCAGAGTTTCCTGAGCAGTGCGGAGGGAAGGCGCTCACCTCCTCCCTTCCGGCCATTTCTCAGCCCTCAGGAAGGAAGGGCAGGTCTTGGTTTCTGTCTCTGTAAAGGTGAAGGTGAAGGGTGGAGGAGAGCCAGGCCGGGGCTTTGGATGGCCACCTCCTCCCTGCCCTGTGTCCTGGGACCTGACGGAGTGTGCCAGGCGCTGCCCATGCCAGCCTGTGACCTGTGCCCATCACATGTCCACATCTTAGTTTTTCTTACCAGCAAAGTGCCTTCTAGAGCAAATGTGCTCTGATTCTTTACAAGCAAAGCCGAGTGAGCTGTGGTGGCTCGCCTGTAGTCCCAGCTACTCAGGAGGCTGACGTGGGAGGACTGCTTGAGCCCAGGAGTTCAAGGCCAGCCTGGGCAACATAGCAAGACCCTGTCTCAAAAGAAAAAAATAAATAAGTAACAGCAAAACCATCATTTCTATTTTGGTTTTTAACTGGAAATGTTCTAAATTGAAATACCTAAGTCCATTAAAAACTCCTTAAAGGAGAAAGAGTTATCCCCAAATAAAAAGGTGTGGAGTTAGATAGGATGATAATTTCTGCCCTCCAGTCCCTGGTCAAGGCTCAGAGACCACACAAGGCAGTGCGGGAATGACTCTGTGAGCACACAGCCACTCTGGGTTTCATTGTCATCACATCGGAGAAGCCACGCCAAGCAGCCTGTCCTTGTGTCTGCTTTCCAAAGCGGACGTGGGCAGGAATGTTTCTGGTGTGCTCAGTCTGCAAGTGCCACATTTCAAGTCTCACTTCTTTCTCTTTGCCTTGTCCTTAGAGAACACTTTCTACCAGGATCTTTCCGGACCTCAGGGTTACTCAGAAGCCCCTGGACATCGCTCAGCCCTGTGGCCGACATCTGAGCAGACCTGCCTGCCCCAGCCCAGCCCACAGCAGCCCTTTCCCCTCCAGCCGGGCTCCTACCCAGCAGGAGGGGGTGCAGGGCAGACCGGGGCACCGATGCTTCTTTACTCAGTTCCTGAGACCCATCTGCCAGGGACTAGTGGCAGCGTGGCAGTGACACAGGTTCCTGGAGGAACAGTCTGGGAGGAAACGCTGCAGACACACCCGCTCCCTGGTAGGACCTGGCAGCCAGGCTGGCTGCCTTGGGTGCAGAGTCTGGGTGGGGAGGAAGCAGGTGAAGGAGGCTTAGGGAGTGTCAGAGGAGGGGTTTGGAGCGGTGGCTGTGAGCGTTACTGAGGCCCACGGTGTTGGCCACTGTGCTGGTACTTTGCGTGCATCCCAGGGGGATTGCTCTCTCCCAGTCCTGTCTGCCCCTCCGCTGGGACAAGCATAGCAGGACAAGTGGCAGCCATTCCTGGCCTTCCCTGGCATTTCATAGTTTCTCGGGGAGAGATTGCAGGGCGGAGAAGTGAAGAACACACCACCTGCACCTCACATGCATCGTAGAGGAGGCCGAGTCTTCTTTCTGCAGTGCTGCATCCAAGAGCTTACTGGCAGGGACTCCAGCAGAAACCCGAGTTTCTGCCCTGGTCCTAAGTTTCTTCAGGCCCATGAGAGCTTGGGCAGCAGGGACCAGGTGTGTGAGCAGGGCTGAGTGATGCCAGGGAAGTGCCGGAGGCCACATAGACCCTCTAAGATAAGGTCCAGTTCTGGATGGAGATGCCAACTGAGGGAAGGTAGTGGAGGCCCCCGCTCTGATTGCCCAGATTCCTAAGGAACCACCTAGGGGGAGAGAGTGGGCTGCCCAGCAGGTCCTGGGGTGGCTGGGACCGAGAGGAGCTGTGCAAGCCGACTCTGCATTTCTGTGGTCTGCTGGGGGTCATGGGCTCTGAGCTGCTGCGGTTAAGAAAGCCGGCTGTGTCCACACAGCTTCCAATTCTGTCCTTGTTTCTCTTTTGTGCTACAGGAGAGTATACAGCATTTCAAGAAACTTTCCAGCATCCTGATGGTCTAAAGGTCATTTCCAAACCACAGGTGAGAGGACAAAGCATACAAGAAGCCGATGCCCACTCTCATGCTTCCGGCTTTTACCGCCTGCCCTGGCTTCTCCCAGAGAGGAGCTGGGGCAGCTCTCCCTTCCACGCCGCACCGCCTTTCTGTCTACACCGACTCCTGGGCGTTGGGCAGGAGGCTGCGCTCTTGTTTGTGCTCAGTGCCACCAGCCTGTGTCAACGGGGGGCCAGGAGCAGCCGCGCCGGGTTGGGTTTGGGCCGCACAACCTCTGGGCCCTCTGACAGCATCTCACCGCTGGGCCAAACGCTCGCCATACCTGCCCGTGGTGGAAGACTCGTTATTTATTTCCTTGTTGTAACTTATACCTGGCTTTATTTCAAAGGCAGGTCTGTGACGCTGTGACAGCGCCTGCTCATGTCTCCCCTCAGCTAGGCCGGAGGCCGCGGCGTGGCCAGGTCTAGTCAGTCGCTCTGTCTTGCTGCCCCTCCAAGTCACCCTGCCCACAACGGGCAGCGCTGGCCCCGCCTGGCCCAGGGTCACATCATGTCACTTTTTCAAGTAGAAGCAAGGCTACAGGTCTTAAAAAACTTTTTTTTCCTGTTTTTTTTCCTGACTAAAGAAGTAGTATGGTACATTATTGTTATAAACAAATTTAAAAATAAAGTATCATATAAAGAACAAAACAAACATCAGTTTTAATCCAACAGTCAAATATTTCAGTTCTTTCCTTCCAATATTTTTTATTATGTGCATATATTTGTAAATGTATACATTTATATATTTATACATACATGTTTTTTAATGGTTAAGAACGTATGTATATAAAGCTTTATTTCCTATTGATTATTTAATACTATATAATGAGACTTTCTATGTCATTTATAAATGCGATTTTTAATATTGGCATGACAAAATCCCTTGTATGAAAGTAGCACCATCCATCCATTTGTTTGTTCACAAATGTTCGCTGAGCTCCAACAATGTCCCAGGCACTGTCCCATGGGCTGGGGGTGCATCACTGGGTCAGAGCCCTGCCTCGTGGTGCTCAAGTTTGGGAGGTGACAAAAGTAGGAGCCATACGTGTGGGACATCTTACCTTAGAGGGGCGGTCAAGGAAGGCGGCTCTGAGGCCTTCCAGCACAGATCAGAATGGAGCTTAGAAACGAGCCAGGTAGGTATCCAGGGGACAGGTGTTCAGGCAGAGGAGACAGCAAGAGCACAGCCACCAAGTGAGCTCACTTGGTGCGACTGAGGAAGAGCAGGGGCCCACTGTGCCTAGAGTGAGGAGCAACAGGGGAGGCTGAGACACAGGCCAGGGAGGCAGCAGGCCTCGATGACAGAAGGCTTCCAGGAGCTCTGTGTCAGTTGGTTACTCCCACGTTGCTAACGAATGTTGAGAATGTTGAGTATGTTGCGTTCCTTTTTGTTCCTCCCCCACTTCCTTCCTTTATTCACTCATATATAATACACGTAGTGATGGGCATCCTAGTATATGAGCCCGTGTCTATGTCTTGAATTACTCAACTAGGAGACACTCTTAGGAGGAAAGGCAGGCTGCCTAGGTTTGAGCCCTCACTCTGCCATTTACTGGCTGTGTGACCTTCCACAGGTTCTTAACCTTTCCATGCCTTAGTTTTTTCATATGTGAAATGAGATGATGATAACAGTACACACTGCACAGGCTTGTCGTAAGGACTAAGCAGATCATTTTATATAAAGCACTTAGAACAGGGCCTGGTGCACCTTTAAATACTATAGTCATTTGAATAAAAATAAAGCCTTTTCTATGTTTTGCTAAAGTGTTTTCCAAAGTTTGTACCAACGATGCCTTATTGAGAGGGCACAATATAAATATAAGGGTAATATGTTTGTATGATTCCAGTTAATGTGAGATACATAGAGCAGGGAAACTCAGAGACAGAAAGCAGAGTGGAGGTGACGGGGCTTTGGGGAGGAGAAGCGGGAGCTGGTGTTCAGTGGCACAGCGTGTCGGCTGGGGAGATGAGCGGTCTGGAGATGGACAGTGGTGGTGGTTGTGGAACATTGTGAATGTTCTTAATGTCATTGCATTGTACACTTAAAATGGTAAAAATGGTAAACTTCACGCTATGTATATTTTGCTATAATAAAAAAAGTAATATAAAAGGGCAGGGGTGTATTTTAATCCTTTTTGGTGCATATGTTCACAGTTGATCTTGAGCAAGTCTGTTAGGAAATGAGCTCTAAGATGAGTCAGGTTAGGCGTTTGCTAGTCTCTGTTTTGAGGGTTGTGGGTCTCTGTGGGGCGTTCCCTGGCCCTCTTCCTCTCCAGCGCTAGCATTCCGTGCCCCCACCCCAGCCTTGGCAGAGTTCTAGAAACTTTATGTTCCGGAGAGGTAGGAGAGCAGACCAGACTCCATAAGACTAGGGCTACCGTGAGAACTGGGTCTGGGCTCCCATCTCATCCTGAGACCTCCAGCAAGTCCTTGCTCGTGGCTACCCTTGCTTCCTCATCAGTAAAATGTGATCTCATAGACTGTCGCACTGATTTATCCAGCAGGTCAGGTGGGGACGTACGTGTAAATGTGTCTCGTAACCGTCAAGTGCTATCTAAATGCCAGTTCTTATTTTAATTCCAGGCGCCACTGGTTCCCAGAGCACGAAGCATTTCCGAGAGTTCCACCATGTCGGCCACGGAGGATGAGGAGGAGTCCTCCGATGAAGCTGATAAAAAACCTCCCCCAAATGCCGCAGGGACAGAAAAGCCAGGAGATGGGCAAGGGAGCACAAAGGTGGAGGGAGCTGTTTCCTTGTCCTCCGTCCCGCCGCCCCTTCCCCAGCGGGCGCAGGGCGGGAGCCTGGCCGGGGCGCAGGGCGGGAGCCTGGCCGGGGCGCAGAGCCGGGCGGGCAGCGGGCGCAGAATGGGAGCCTGGCTGGCGGGCGCAGAATGGGAGCCTGGCTGGCGGGCGCAGGGCGGGAGCCTGGCCAGGGCGCAGAATGGGAGCCTGGCTAGCGGGCGCAGGGCGGGAGCCTGGCCATGGCGCAGGGCGGGAGCCGGGCCGGCGGGTGCAGAGCCGGGCAGGGGCGCGGGCTGCAGGCAGCAGACGTCCCCCCTTTCCTCCCGCAGAGCTCAGGCTTTGGCTGGTTCAGCTGGTTTCGATCGAGGCCCACGGACCGCGCGTCCCCCTCCAGAGATGGAGGCCCGACGGACAGTGCGGACTCTGAGGTGACCCGCGGGAGGGCGGGCGCTGGGCTTTCCCGGGACGCCCTGTCTGGCCGCGCCGGCCCCAGCGCAGGCGGAGCGGCCCGCGACGGGCGCTGCGGGCAGTGGCGGTCCCGCGAGGGCGGGCAGGCCGTGGGGGCGCGAGGAGTCAGGACCAGGGGCTTTGGCTCGAGAGGGCGGAGGGCGGCAGGGGCGGGGCTGAATGTCCGCGGGGCGGCAGGAGGACGCGGTTGCAGGGAGCGTCCGCGGCAGGTGGCGGGGGCTGTCGCTGGGGGCGCAGGAAGCAGGCTGGCAGGGATTCGCGGCCACCAACCGCACCGGTGCTGCCTGTCTTTTCCCGCCAGCAGGACACCCCCGCGGCCCAGGGGCTGTCACGCGCACCTCCCGCAGTCCCCGCCGGCAGGCGCCGACCCCAGGGGCACGGGTACCGCGGGCCGCTCCGCTCCTGAGGCCGGGGTGGGGCCTCTGAGGCCGGGGTGGGGCCTCTGCGTCCGGGTAGCCCGGGGTAGCCCGACGCTGCGTCCCCGGGCCGGCGAAGGAGGGGTCCGCGCCAGGCGGCCCAGGTGAGCGGTGCGCGGGCTGGAGGTGCTGCTCGCGGGGACGTGGGGGAAGCTTCGCCTCCCTTTGCTCAGGCTGCCGGAACGAAATGTCACAGACTGGACGGCTTAAACAGCAGGACTATGTCCTCGCAGTTCTGGAGGCTGGAAGTCCGAGGTCAAGGCGCCCTCAGGGCTGCCCTCTCTTCCCTCCTGAGCCTGCAGAGGCCGTCTCGCCCTGTGCCGTCTCGGCCTTTCTCTGAGCGCTTGCGGTCAGGCCCTCCTGGAAGGACGAGGGCCTGGTTGGATGAGGGCCTGCCAGTAGGGCCTCGGCGTGCCTAAATTACCTCTTTAAAGACCTTCTGTCCACATACAGTCACGTTCTGAGGCCCCCGGGGCTGGGGCTTCAGCTAGGAGCGTTGTAGCGGTCGCAGGTTAGCCCACGGCGCTTCCTAGGTGAGGTCTGGGCCCTGCCTCCCGCGCTGCCGCCGGCAGCCCCGGCACGCGGTGCGTCCTGAGGAGCTGTCCGCGTGGGCTTGGCTTTCATGCCTGTTGTTAGGAAAACGTTTTTATTTCTTACAGCCTGGTTAGAGTACTCCGGTAGTATTCATATGCTATTTTAGGCCTTTCAAAGAATGTGCATCACTTTTTCTGACAGTATTAATATACTTAATGGTGGCCTTTCCTTCTCGCCAGTGTTGCCACTGCAGACCCAGGGGCTGGCTATGCTTGGACCGTGTCTGTTTGCCTGAGATGCCCTGAGCTCTACAAGAAACCTTCCTGTGTGCTTCTCTTGACAGAAGCTGACCCTCAGGGATGCTCTCGACATTCTGGAGTCTGGCAACAGGCACCAACAGGACCTTCTCTTCTTTTCCTTCTCAGGGTGTTTCCTCTGAGCTCTTCTCCAGGCCTGGTGTTCTGCTTCCTCCTCCTTCCTCAAAAGAGGCTGTTCCCCTTTACAACCCGTCGCAGGTCCCTCAGGTAAGGAAGCCCTCAGGAGGGGTTAGAAGCACAGGTTTTGGATTCAGAAGACCTGGGTCTATAATCCTAGTTTACCACTGACTCCATGTGAGTTCTCAAACCATTTATTTAACCTCTCTGAGTCTCAGTTTCTGCATCTGTACAATGGGGCTAGTAGTAGCTACCTCACAGATACATAGGTGAGGGCCTGGTACCCAGAAAATGCTCAGTAAGTGTATCTATTATTAATATTGCTCTTGACCTCTAGCAAGACTTGAGCTGCAAGGGACACAGTTGGTGTTGGTGGCAGTGTTGTGGGTGCACTGTCACTCTGTCCTGGGCATGAGAGATCATCCCACACTTTGGGAGAAGCTAAGCTTGTTCCTCACTGATCTGGGTGGACTTAACTCTGCTAATGTACCATTTGGCCTCCCCTCTTTATAAACTTTCTTTTCATCATAGTTTGGAGGTAAAGGTGGATGTTAGACCACAACCCTGGGAAGTGTTCTAGACAGAGGCTCAGAGTGCCCTGCCTCCATCCGTCTGGGCAGCCCTGAGCGGAGTCCTGCCTGGGTCTGCACACGAGTGTAATGTTTATTCTTCCCTTCCAGATGCCCATGGCCACCAGCCAGAACCGGCCAAACCGCCTCGCCCAGCGCCGCTATCCAACCCAGCCGTGCTGAGAATGGCCGCGCGTCCCAGGCTGGTCTCTCGGGAGTGCCACTTCCACATCGCTCTCCGCCTGTCAAGCCCCAGCCCCTCTGCCCTGGCGGGGACCTCGGAGGGTTGTGCTGGCCTGTTGCCTCCCCCAGGCACTTAGAGAGGAAGAGGACAGGGTCTCCCAAGACTCAACTGAAGAATGATGGAAATTATGTTGTCAGATGGAAAATCTGGACCTAATAGCAGACTGGAAATGAGCAGAGTGACATGGCAGCAGCAGTGAAGGTGGCAGTATGCGATCCTGAGAGAAGTTAGGGCCCCAACAATCCCATAGCTGGAAGCAACGTGACCCCACTGGGCTCTGTAGCAGGAAATTGAGGAGGGGGAAGGGCAGGGGCTCAGAACAATGTTCTAGACTAACTTTCATATCCTCCCTGGCTTATATAGACTGGCACATGGCTCTAGTTAACAAAGGTTTTATACGGAAATTTGATGATTGCTGCCCTTCATAATCCCCTCTTCAGTGACATTTCAGCAGTGATCCTCTTGGTCCCAGTTTTGTGCACATTTTCTGTGTGGTTCAGATTAATTATATTTCTTGCACTCTCTTAGCTGGTCCTATTTTTTCACATTCTGGCATGTGGCTATCAAGTTAGATTGCTGTAGGCATCATATTGTCATGGTAACTACTGAACCTAATGATGCAGATGGATGGAACATCAGTATAATAAATGATGGAAAGTGTTTCCTAAAAATTCCTCCCTGCCATGAGAGGGGAGGAATGAGTGCCTGATATTGTTAATATCTCCCTTCCTACCTCAGGCCTTTGCAAATTGATGTTCAGAGGGTCACTGGAGCCGGGTGTGTGTGTGTGTGTGTGTCACATCTTGAACATTTCCATTTCTCTTTTCACATCCAAAATAGGAATGGCTCTTGCTGTTTATAAGATTTGCTGAAAATTGCTCCTCACAAAGAACATTTTTTTGTTTGTGTAATTGTACATACAGGTTTGATACTTTAGTGTTCTGATGTTGTTAGTGATTAAACCCAGATAATTTTATAGCAAATGCTTGTCTCTGGCTGGTTTTTGCAGGGGGAGAAAGAACATTGATGGTCTTTTCCCTGAAGTCTTTCTGATAAAGGTTTCATTGTGTCATCGGGTATGAATAGCTGGAAACAGCCCTTTGTTAATGAAGAATCTTGGGACTGATCTTCTGAACTTCCAAGTCTACTCTAATGTTGTTTTTCCAATTTAAAAAATATGGACAAAGCTTCTCTGATTCAAATCAGTCACTTCACTGACTAAATGTTGCATATTTCGTTCCCTAAAAAATTTCTTTCAACTCACAGGATTAAATTAGAAAAATATATGCTGAAGTGTTTTGTACCTGGAAGGCCCTTGGTAAATGCTGTTCCCCTTTCTTGCATAAAAGGCTGATGCTGCTCCGGTTGGGGTGCTGACATCCAGTGGCAGTCCTGGGGCCCCAGCGTGGGAGCTTCAAGGGAGCCAGACTACCCAGACTGGAGTCCTGCTCACCCACAGTCAGCATAGCCTCAGGCAAGGTCACCGAACTGTCCTGTGCTGCAGTTTTCTCACCTATAAAGTGAGGGTGGAAATAATCCTAGTACCTACCCTGTGGGGGCATTGTAAGACCCGCCACCCTTTGAACCATGTGTTTGAACTGAGGGTTTGAAACACTTCTATTTGCATTTTCTTCTGCCTCTGCCACCCCTGAGACAGCAAGACCAGCTCCTCCTCTTCCTCCTCCTCAGCCTGCTCAACATGAAGATGACGAGGACAAAGACCTTTATGATGATCCACTTTCACTTAATGAATAGTAAATATATTTTCTCTTGCTCATGATCTCCTTAACAGTTTCTGTTCTCTGGCATGCTTTATTGTAAGAAGACAGTATATAATATATATGTAACATACAACATATGTGTTAATCTGCAGTACATGTATCAGTAAGACTTCCTGTTCACATTAGGCTATTTATAGTTAAGATTTTGGGGAGTTAAAGGTTGCGTGTGATCTTTTGACTGCACAGAGGCCAGCACCCTGAACCCCCTGTTGTTCAAGGCCCGACTGTACTTTTAAGTGTCTTTTGTTACTAGTGTGCAATCTAGTAAGTAAGACCTTGACCTTTTTGCCAACCAGATTTAACTATGGATTTTTCATTCTTTGCATACATGTATAACAGGAATAGTAATTTTAAAAAACTTCTCAATATGTGTTCTTATTGCTAAGCCAGTTTCTCTTCCTACATCCCCTCAACCACCAATTCTAGGCTTGAGGCTTAGTGCTCCTGGGAACAATGACACAGGAGAAGTCCTGTCCCATAACAAGAGGCACTTTAGAGGAGGAGAGTGAGGACGGAGGAGGAAGGCTTCCTCGCCCCTCCTCCTGCCGGACTGTGCGTGGAAAACCAGTGGCCACGACAGTTCTCCAGGAAGCCAGCGCCGAGCTCAGTTATCGCCCAGACGAAGGGACACACGGTGAGCCAATTTTCTGAAGAGGAAAAACCAGGGGTTTTATGCACTAGAAAGGAAGGAGGTTTGTGGTTGTTTATGCTAATTCATGATGGAATGTGTCTGTCTGAATCTGTGCATGCTTGGTGAAAACATGTCCCGTTGCTCACTGGTCAGGAAAGTTAAGTCCAGGAAGGGTCTGAGGACGTGGGGTCACTCGAAGGCTATCAGCGTCGCCTGGGTAATGGTGGTGGCGTTGCAAAGGTCACTGTCATTTTACAGCTTCAGCTGGTCAAACCAGCTGTGGTGAAACAAAGCAAGTGCAGATATAAGAGGAAATTATTCTTTTCCTGCTTTTTTAAGACAGAAGCTTGGGGACTAGAGCAGGCTGTGACAGACAGACACTGCTAGGAAAGAGAGTGCATTGGGCTAGTGACTCTTTGTCTTCGGTAGCCTGGGGGAGGCTGTGAGACTTGAGGAGAAGCCAGCTTTGGCTTAGAAACGTGCAAAGCATGATAGAAGCCGCAGTGCTTGACTTTGGGGATGACCAGATCCCCAAGCTCCCTGCAGCCGGGTGTCGTGTGGACTCCAGCAGGGAATAATTGCACAGTGTCCCAAAAGGCCAGATGGGACCAGTAGTGTCCCAGAAGACAGCAGGCCGGGTCTGGGCCAGGACGGCCACCAGCAAGGAACAGGGCACACCGTATAGGCCATAGCGCCTTTCTCGTCACCATCAGCCCGCTGGGGAGAGGGATGAAGAGATTTTCTCTCTCTTTAAAGAAAGGAGTTACCAAAAGACACTTTTACAGGGAAGAGCCTGACATATCATTAACTGGCAGGTTTGTTTTTTCCCCTGCTCCTCAAGCTTGGAGGAAGAATAGATCGGTAACAGGAAACACAGAAACCACATTTTCCTTGAAAAACTGAGCAGTAGTGTGCAAATTTGTGATTCTGCTATACACAAATGCTTTAGTAGTTATATTGAAACATTTAATGTTTAATAATTAATTGAGAGAACAAACTATTAAATTCCGCTTCAGTCTCTCTATCACGTCACCCACTATTCCAGCCTGTGTAATCCCTGCGTGTGGCTCCAAAACTGCCAGCGAGCCTTGATCCCTCTGTCACCTGTACCTCTCCTCCTCTCCCTTACTCAGGCTTCGGGTTGCTCTGGATCAAAGCCTTTGCTAGCTTTTCTTTCCCCACCTAGAAATCTTCTTTCTTTTTGGTCTCTTCCTCTGAGCAACCACAAAGAGGAACAAGAGACTGCACCGACCTCTTTGCTAAAATCAGAATGTTTTCTACCCAAGAGGGAATATGCAAAACACTCTTGTGCTTGAAAAGAATAATATGTCATTTGGGTCACTCCACTCACATGAGTTTCTCTGTGACTTTTCCTCTTTTCTATTTGCTGTCTTAAGCTGGAAATTTCATATAGCATTACCTGTAAGCAATAGGATGTTGGGTGCTTAGCTGAGGTTGTCCCTACATGTGACCCCAACAACTACCTGCTTTCATGATGCACTTATACCAGGGCATCATTCATTCAGCTCCTTTAGAAATGGTTTCTTAATGAGATTTAAAGTTATTTTGAACAAGGATTAACAGCATATTAAAATGTTTGCATTCCAAACGCACTACATAGAGTATTCTTCTTCCCTTACTTTCTTCATTTTTATTATATGTATTTATGTCTCCAGGTAATAGTACTTCTCTGGAACAAGGTCAACAGCAGTTTAACTCAAACTCAACTGACCTGTGAAAACTGCTTGTTAATTTAGCACGAGATGCTTTCCTGGTCCTTAGCTGTCTTAGAGGGAGGTGGTTAGCTAACCAATTTTTTAACAATCTCAAGAGAGGGGGAAGTCCATGGTTTTCCTTAGGGTTTTGGCCTAGGTTTCAACACCCTCAAATGTTAAGAAGTTATTCCTAATCCTTTTTACCCAGATCACTCATGTCTCTTGAAGACTGTCAGCTGGTTCTCAGTGGTGATGAAAAACAGCCGTTCGCCACCACCTGTGCCTGGAACGCTTTCTCATTCTGGAAAGCCATTGACTCATGCCTTAGCTGTGAAATGAAGTCTTACGAAATGAGGTTTTCTTCACTGGAGTTGGGGATTAAATGTTTGGAGTCCTTTGGTAGCCATAGTGGTCAGATATTCTAGATTTCAATAATAATAGTTAAAATATTTGTTATTTACTTTGTGTCAGGGACACGCATTCTATGAACTATATAGCATTGTTATTTCAAAATATATCAGGAATCAAAAACTGAATAGAGAGGTTACCTTAACCAAGGTTACAAGGCTGGTAAGGATGGAGCTGGAATTATAATTTAGGTGGTCTGACCTCAGAATCTAGGCTTTTAGCTATATTGTCCCAGGACATGTGTACATTTGTTCATTTATTTATCGAATATTAATTGAATAATGCGTCAGTCATTGTACTGTTTTCCTGGCAAAATTGATCCTGACACGTAAAGTACTCATAGTTTAGTGGGGGAGACAGACATGTCAACGTAGAAATTTCTGCATAATGTGAGAACTGTTATACTAAAGACATGTACAAATAACTTTGTATCTTGATACTCCTTCATACTATAGTGATTTCATGTATTTGTAAAATTGGGAGGGAAATCTGTAATACATTCAAATTGTACCAACCTTCTAGGTGAAGATGAAGGTGATGTTCCCTGCTAGCTGTGCAGGATAGCGTATCTGTTGCCCAGAGTTGAAGGTGGCAGTGAGACATGGCGGCTGCACCCGGAGTCTGAGTGAGCAAGGGTAACGGTGCACTGCAGTCATGGACACCACCCGTGCTCTCTGAAAGGAGGATGGTCTGATTTAGATTTGCCAAACTGCCACTGCAGAGACCCTTCTTGCTTCCCCTGCCCTTTACAGGATTCGGAGGAAGAAAAAGGTGGTGAATATTGCAGTGGAACTGCTCTGGAGAGAGAGGTCTAAGGTGGGAAGTGTATGTGGTTTTGTGTGTGTGCACGTATGTGGGCACCATCCCATGAGGCACCCTTCAGACTGCGTCTCTTTTCACATAATATCTACCCCTACCTCTTCAATTTCCCCTTCTTCACAATTACTCTTTCTCCCAAGAGAGGATTACCCTGAAGGCAGCCTCTGCAGAAGCATCTTCCGTGTGGCTCACACTGTGACGACACCCATAAAGTCCCACTTACCAGAATAGGATATACCAGATCCTATGTCAACAGAGCCCAACTTTTGGCTAGAAAAGTTTAGCTAATTTTTATGTTTCCCAAAATTGGGTTCTTAGGAATCAAAGGCTTTGGCTTTTAAAACTTGCTTGAGTGTAAGAGCCCATTTTACAATGTAAACAATAATTGCTGAGTGGTTTTCATTATTCTTTGGTTCTACAGTCATGATTTGGGATCATGAGGAAACCTCATTGTCCTGGAGTGGAAATAATTTGAGTTTTGGGCTTCAAGATTTCATCCCTACTTCTTTGAGCATTTGAATAAATACCCATGAACTAAGAACAAATCCAGAGCCTTATAGTCCTGACTTCTTCATGTGATTTTTCAGCTGCTACTATTACAAACAACAACAAACCAACCCCCAAGCCTA